AGAAAAAAGGCACGCTGGTTCATAATTTGCTACAATGTTTCCACTACGCGAAGCAGATTAACAATATTAAGTTCTTTTTAATCAGTTTACATACTTGCATGCACAAGCAGAAAGGAAGCTCGCTTAGAGCGAGACGGAGGCACGGAGCGCGGAACCATGGTGACAACGAGGACAGCGACAACATGACATGCCTGCCAACATGGCGGCTGCTCCATTTCCGGCGCCCGCCGCTCAATGCACTATGGGGAATTTGGCCGATTTCATGGTATTAATTAATAACTTTTAAACTAAGTAAGATTTTTCGAAACGGTTTTTTTATTAATATTATAGACACCGATAGGAATGTTTTTAGAAAAATGGGCGTGGCTCCGCCCCTTCCCTGACGAAATGTTATATATTAACTTTTAAACTAAATACGATTTTTTGAAACGGTTTTTTTTATTAGTCTTATGAAGATTGTTGGAAATAGTTTTTGGTAAAATGGGCGTGGTTCCGCCCTCCCATTTGGATAAATTAATCAAAAACTTTTTAAAAAAATAAGATTTTTCAAAACGGTTTTTTATTATTGATATGGACTCTGCTGGAATTGTTTTATATACAAAAGTTGATAATAATAAAATAAAAGGTTTATAAAATATTTTCAGTCTCAACTTCTTCGTCATACATAAAATAAAAGTCGTCAATTTTATCTTCAATTTCCTCAATTTGATCCTGGCCTTCACACAATAAAAGGCTTAAAACTTCTGAAGGAAGTTCCATACTTTTATGCTTCCGAATTCGCTTCATAAGATTTTTTAAAGAAATGACAGGATCAGAAGTATCTAAGGCTCTGTTGAAAACGTCCATGAAATTATTAACACGACTATGCTTCCGTGCGTGATGCAGTCTATCTGCTTTGTAAATTTTGTTGCGTGCTTCCGAAGCTTCTTCTCCGAAATAGCCAACGGGAAGTACTGTATTTTCCATAATTTGCCTTGAATGGACAATTATTTTGTGAACAGTTGCCGTCATTGGCAACCATGGAAAACAATCCACAATTTGTTCCCCAGTTTTAAAACAAAACGTTTGTTTTGTTAAGTTTGTTTTTGCTTAGAATTCATTAAGAATTAAATAATTAATAGAAAACAAAAAAAATTTTTGAATTTGGTTGTGTGAATATGAATTTATGGGTGACGAAAGTCTGAGTCGTGAACATACACTCAATTTTGCTCGCCACTGTATATTTAGGCAAAATAAACTGCTTTTCTTTTTTAAATAGTTTTTGTGTTTTTCAACATCAACGTTTTTACTTATTTTACTCGAAATAAAATTAAGAATTGATCTTTCTTGGTCTCCTTACGCCATACTTCAAAAAGCTCCGCGTTCGAAAACTCGAAGACACCTGACAAAAAACGAAATTACGCAGATTGTGCGCATTTTTGCACATTGAGACAAATTGCCTTTTATTTATAATTAATGGCTCTACGACATATATTAAACTTACACTGTTGCAACGATATGTTTTTTTTGTAAGTCTACGCAAAGTTGATTTTTTTTTTCCAAAAAATTACCTCTTAGACCAGTTTTAAAATTGCCTAAATATTAGTAAGACAGGCACATATCAAAATATTAATACACACAACATAAAATACGAAGCAGTATGATTGTTTTCCATCACAAATTAAATTAATATATTGTTTAACTTTTAAGTATCGCACTTTCAAAGTAGCTATCCAAAAACTGCCTCTTCTCAAACACGTGCCTTTGGGCTGCAACAGCTGACTTTAACAGTGCAATGCTTTAAAAGTGCACTGTTTATTAATATTTTTGGTATGGAGTCATATGGAGCCATATGTTTTTAATATGTTTACATAAAAAAAACCCAAATATTTAAACTTTGATAAAATGACTAAATACCATGAAATCGGGCAAATTCCCCATAGTGCAATGCCTATCCTTCTTGCTTTCTTCTGCCGGTTGTATTTTCATTTTTTATTCTCTACTTTTTCCATTTCGTTCTTGGCCCTTTTTTTATGCTAACAACTAAAGCCCGGTAACTAGGGAGTGTCGACACTACTATGTACGAGTTTTCTGTGTTTTTTTGGGGGGTAGTTGGGGGATGCGGAAATTGGGTTGTGCTTACTGCAGGGTGTGTCGTTGTTGTGGCTGCAAGAACTGTATAGGTCTGTAGTTGGCAGAAAAGAGGTCGTTGTGTTTTTTGGACCCATTGGGGCGGCATTTGTTCAACGGCTGTGTTGTTTGTGTTTACGTTGTTGCCACGAGTCGGGGCTCCATTGTCAAAGGTTTTAAAAATAGCAAAAATATAAATATAAAACTCATATTTACGTCAATGGCATTTAATTGAAAGTTGCTCAACGGAAGCGGTGTAGCGTGAAATTAAATAAAACAATTACAGAGCTGGTGATGGAGCACTTTAACAACCCGAATTAAAAAAGTTTCCCCTGAAAAGTAATATCTGAAAGTTACCAACATCACAACTATGATATATTGGTAAAATCTTACTGTGGAAGGAACTTTTAATCACGCCTAATGACTGGATAACCCAAGGACCTTAATTTAGCAAATGGAATCACCGAAGACTAACAAACAAAAAGTCACCTTTCCTGAAGGGTAAACTAATAGGGGCATTCATTATTGCAGGGGAAGTTCCAACAAAATGAAAACTTTTTCTGCGCAAATTAAATTAAAATCAAAGTAAAGTGTTGCTGGAGCTTGTGGGTGTGTGTGTGTGCGTTTGGGGGTGTGAATGGTTCATGAGATGGGCGGGAACTAACCTAACTAAAAACGGAAAACTTTCAAGCCAAGTTAAGGAAAAACAAAACTACTATAAGCTAAACTTATGGTTTAGAAAAGCTATAATACCCTTACTTTGTATTGTTTTTAATATATAATATATTAATCCTAACTTTGAAAGTTAAACAGATATGGAAGTAGTTTTTAAAAAATACAATTCAGTCTCAGAGGGTTTACAAGCTTTAAGGTTAAAGTGTACATTAGCGAGAGGCAAAGGAACGCCTAATGATGCTGCCTGGCAACCGGTAATTATAAAGGACGTCTTGACTTGGGAAAAGCCACCGTTTACGTTCCACCGCCTGCCATTTAATTAGAGCCAAATGGAACACCTGACGTATGGTCGGCCATGTTTTGGCAACGAGCCAACCATCTCAGCCATGACAATTTAAATTTAATTAATTTCCTTTGACACTTGATGAAGGACCCTGGCTGTCCATCACAGACAAAGGTACTCTGAGTTTATTGAGTGCCGAATCGAGAGTCTCTTGCAAAGCCTTTGTTGTCAGATAATTGGAAAATAACTAGGCATTGACAACGACCTTAAGTATTTGCATTCACATTCTCTTGATGAATTAAATTGAAATTATTTTAGCACAAGAAACCTATGTCCTACTACTCTCATTTATAAGATATTATCCTTAAAGTGACACCATTCATGAGCACATAATTTTCCATTCTTCCATAGTTTTTTTTCTCCACTTGGCATTATTTGTTTGCAATTGCCGCAAAGTTCTTACTGAACAATATGAAGAAATTTTCTGCATTTACACACTGCGTATACGTAATCTTCTCCCTTCTGGAACAATTGACTGCTTGACCTCTTTCTTAAGTTTTTTTTTTATTTCTTGGTTATTTTTAATTGGAAGAAAGCCATGCAATAGGCGCAGACACGTTCTAAGGTGTGTTTACGCGAATGGGTGTACTATATAAGAGTGTACCATACACTTTATTTATATTTTATTGAAACTAATCCACAAACTTTTTTTTCTTTTTTATAATTTAAACTTTTTGTACATCTTAAACTATATTAATTATAATTACTTAAATCGATATTAATATCTCGTCACGGTATACGCATTAAAAATAATTAGGCAAGCATTGCATTAATTATTACGCATAATACACATTAATTACGTATACGCACTGTTTCCCATGTTCAGGAAAAATATACCTATGACTGTTAAAAATATAAATGTTATCCCCAAAAATTAGATTTTATTAGGGAAAACCCCGAATATTTTTAGATTTTACAATATTGGTCCACCTTAAAAAAAACCCACACACTCACACATACATAAGTGCTTGTATTGTGTTCTCTCCTGGCTCTCTTGTACCTGCTCTATTGCCATCTTGCTTGCATGCATATTCATTTGCTTTGAAGTGCAGTTAACGTCATGTCAAAAACAGCTGTGGAGCAAAAATTACTGTTTATACCCTGTACTTTGCTAAGTAAAGTATATAGAACAAGTAAAATTGTGTTCACAGACAGAAAATGAATATATATCCTTGATATTCATAGAGAGCCCTGAACTATGAGACATATTTAATTTTGTTAATGTAAATCATAAGCATGTTGCGTCTGCAAATTAGGTAGTATTATGGTCGTCACGTTTCGGAGAATTAACTCAGTAGTTGCTACTGTTGATGTTGTTGTTGCTATTGCTTTTGTTGTCATTAGAATCACGTCGTTGTAGTCGCCGCTGGTTGGCGTCGACGTAAGCGGCGCTGCCAGCGACAGAAGTCGCGTGTTATTGCCCAGTGATTTATACATTTTAACCGTTTTTCCATTACGTTTTCATGCCGCAGTCGCTGTTTGTTGTTGCTATTGCCACTGTTGCCTAATAAATTGTCTACAATTGCTCATGGCATTGTTGTTTCTACCGCAGTGTAGCCATATAATTAGCATTAACTGCAGTTGCCTCGACTGCCTGCCCCTGACGTCTTAATAACGATTTTCTGAAAAGTTTCCAACGACCGGGTCACTCGATAAATCGCGCACCTTACAGCTGGGGTCAGTTGGTACACAATAAAATAATAATATATATGGGGTTTTTATAAGGACTTTTAAAAAAAAACTAATCCACATCCTTGGTCACCGTTGCCCAAAAAAGTATGCTATAAAAAATATCAAAACCAATATGGTATGATTCTTTCTTGAAATCGTTTGTAGATTTAGAAACAAATAGATAATCATAGTAGGTCCTTAACAGAACACATCCTGACACATGTATATAGTAACATATATTGTTTTTAATAATATATTTTACATAGAAAACTTCTCAAAATGACGGAAATGACGGCTGAAGCCAAAGAAATAAGAAAAAGAAGTAGAAGGGTGGCCGCATTCTTTCGAAAGGAAACCGCCGGACCCTATTGCAAGATAGAGACTGCGACGGATATGGAATACTGGCAGCAGTCGAAAGCTTACGTCATCCTGATCTCATATTTGTTCGATGTCAGTTCCCTCATCCAGGGAGTACGCACCACGGATCCCTTTCCTGTGAGCCGGAGCATAAAACGACTGCTGACTATATTCGATGCGCTAGAAGCACTGATTGTGGCTAATCCTCCAGTGGCCTCCAGCGCTATCGATCCGAAGAGCAGTCTTACGGATTCGGGTAATAGATCGTTTCGGAAGTGGGCCCGCTGCATGCTGAGGGACATTTACTATATGGTGGAGAAGGCGGTGCCGAAGAAGAAGTGCCAGCACGTAAACGAGCTGGGCTTTTACTTGTCGGCGTCCTTTGGCAACTCAACGAAAATCGAGTACGGCCCCTCCCACGAGCTGAACTTCCTCTTCTTCGTGTGCTCCCTCTTCCAGGCGCACATCCTTAGCAAACAGGAGGACCTAGCTGCATCGGGCCTGGTCTTATTCGATCGGTATTTAAAGCTAGTGCGCCGGCTACAGGTCACCTACTCGATGGCGCCTCCGCCGAACCACGGGCCCTACTCCCTGGACAAGTTCCAGTTCCTACCCTTCGTTTGGGGCGCGGCCCAGCTGTGCTACGATGCTCCATTCTCACCGAGGAAGATGCTCGACGAGGACATCGTGGCGCTGCACAAAGGATCGTACCTATTGATCGATTGCGTGGCCCACATAATGATGACCAATATTGGCTCCTTCGCCTGCCACTCCAGTCAGCTGTGGTGCTTGGCCTCGTTGTCCCAGTGGACGGACATCTACAGGGGTCTTGTCTTCCGGTACACGGAGGACATCGTTGTGGACTTTGAATTGATTCAGCCGATGCGATTCGGAACCCTGATGCCCTTCGACATGGAAAAGTCCAAGGAACCAGTGGCTGCAGTCCGTCTCGGTGTGCTCTCCCCAGTACGCGTCCAGATCGATGAGGCTTTAGATCATAGCTCCACTAGCACGAAACCGGAAACGGAGGAAGCAGCCGATAAATCCCACGACAAAAAATACGACAGCCTGTCCAACAGTGGAATGTCTTTAGGAAGCCACAGCACCTCCTTGAGCGATGTGAGTGTTCATCTGCCCAATTGGTTGGAAGCCGAAGAAGGTTCTTCTCATTAACTGCTAACGAAGAACTAGAATAGCCGAGCATTCAAGACAAACTTTGCTAATTAAAAATTAATTAATTTTCGCTGCGTGTAATGGGAAAATTTATGTGTGTCAGCAGCATGATAATCCGTATTTCGTATCCGGGAGCAAACATCTGAAACGTGGCAACGTGTCAAGGCGGCAAGGATGTCAAGAGACCGGCCTGACATGAGTCCAAAGATCACCAGACCACAAAACCGAGCTCCTTCAAATGCAAAACGCCAGCCAACTGGAATGGAGAGGGTGGCGCTGTGTGGATGGCCTGGGTTTTTGGGGGAAAAGTGCCTCAGCATGAGAGCAGGATATATTACGTATACGTAGCGTTAGCCGAGGCAATACTCCAGAGTGCGAAAAGCATTTATGCCACTGCCGTGGGGAGAGTGGATGTGAAAAAGTGTGGAATGATGGGGGGGTGAGCCATGGAGACTCGAGTCGACTGAAGTGACTCGACCAAAAGCGGATTACCAACGCGACTTGAGTGACTTCCCAAGCAGGCAGGCAGGCGGCGGTGGCGGGAAAACACCAAGAGTGCCAACAATTCAAACAGCAACAATCGCTGCCGAGGCGAAATGAGAAAATGGAAATGAAACAAGCGGCGTATTGATTTTTCTGGCTCTGGCTTCTGGCTCTGCCCCCATCATTTGATTCAACTCCCTGCTGTTGTGACGTCAATTGAAAGGCACGCGCCAATATCGCGAAGGGCCAGCCAGGGGAGAAATCCACACAAGGATGGGCGGCATGGAGCTACCTGAAAGCCCCAACAAGCCCCATTCGTGAGGTTCTAATTTATCAAATAAATGAAGGGGCTAAGCATATAGACATTCTGGCCATTGTTACGAGATGAAAAGTACTACTTTGAAAATAAATGTGTGTTTGATGTGGACTTGGACCTTATAAACCTGATTTATTAGTGAATGTGGGCCCCAGATAGAATTTATTGGGCAACTCAAGTAGAATCATTTATTCTCACTGCCTTTTAGGCCTTTTTAATTGAAAGCAATACTGCAAAAATATGCTTTGAAACCATCCTTTGAATGACAAGTTTGCTTTCCTTTCAAGAGGCTCAGGACGAGAAACCACAATGACAAACAACCATCTGATGCCATCAAAAGGTAAATACTACAAATATCTATATTTAAGCTTGCTGAGACCACCAGCCCAGACTATCAATCTTCGGCACTAATTGGAAAACAAATCCATATCTGAAGTATGCCAAAATATTTGCTCAGCAACTTGCACTTCCACACACAAAGTTTTCTTTTTACGACAAGGCGTCTCCAAAGCTGACAAATAGATGAAAAAAATAGTTGTATATGACGCCCCAGACGCTGTGGACGCATTCTCTTTTTTTTTTCTAGAGCGGGTGGGCGTGGCCTGCCCATCCATCCAAGAAGCTTGTAATAATTTTCATGCGCTATTTAACATAATAAAGCAATAAGCTGCCACACAGAACTGCCACTGAAGAATGGCAGCAGAAGAAGCGTCACTGCTTTGGCAAACATTTTTATTTATGCCACTTTGCTCCATCTCTTTTTCGCACTGTCAACCATCTCTTTCTCTTACTATCACCCATCTCTTTCCCTCAGGGTGCGTGTCGGTTCCGGTCTTTTCAGAACCACTCTATGAAGTGCGGATGCTAAGTGGATTACTGCAGGACGGATGAAATGTCAGGGGGCTTGAACTAATGGTTTGTGAAACTGATATCTGATATCCTGAAAAATTAACAAATGAGCAAGCGCAATTATGAAAGAAATATTTTCTGGGGATCCGTTGGTCCCCCGTTGGTATTAAAAATAATAACTTTTAAATAAAAGTCACCATTTCTATTCCCCATTGAATGCCAAGAGCCTTAAACAACCAGAAAATGTACATGATGAGAGCTTTTCTTATTGAAATGATTGCGCAAGGTTCTGGCTTCCAGAACCTCGAGGTACATTCAATAAACATCAACAACAATTGTCGGAGGCAGGTGGGATTCGCCTTCTGGGGATCCTCGGGGACATGGCCGCAGGCACGTAGAAAGGATTCATTTTAATGCCAGACCGGCCACCTGAGCTATGCAGCGTCAACAGAAAAAAAGGACACACACGGAAACTAAACCAAAATGGACCAAAGTGTGTGCCCCAGGATCCGAAACGTGTGTGCAGAGCTCTCGCATGAAGGCACGTCTTCAAATATAACCATTTCAGCAATGTATGTACACACATTTCAAAGGCTTTCAAAAGGATACAAATTTTATTGCATTCGATAATAACAAAACTTGATAAATTTCAACCTCAAATATTAAACAGATATCACATTATTTATTCAAATGTCACTTTGCAGCTTAAATTTCAGTATCCTACCAGCTACTGTGTGTTACTAATTGTCCTGAGGACAATCCTCGGGGTACAAAGTCCTTCAAACACACATCCACATCCACACCGCAGCGCTGATGACTGGCTAATTGCGGACTTTGCTAAAATTAATTTCAGCTTCTAATAATAATACCCAGAGGGTCTGCACTGGCGCATGCCACAAAAAGGGTGAGGCAACTTGTTGTCGCACGTGCTCAACGCGGCGTATGCGTAATCTGGCTTGGTTACACCTTACACCTGGCCTTACCCCTATTCCTATCCGTAACCATATTTGTGGCCCAATGGAGGGGTTCGTCATCGTTTATCTGGGGGTTCTTTTTATAGAAATGGCCGACATTGAACCGCTGCCGTAGGTTCAGTAATCGGAGCAATTATCCTTTATGAGGCACAAACTTATTAATTAAATTTTGTACGCTATTTGGCCAGCATCTCACTTGGCACATAATTGATTTACTCAGCCATGATAATTGCAAATTGCTTTTAATTGTTTTCGCCAAAGGCAAAGTGAGAGGAGAAACCGGAGCATCTGTCATGTGCGACTCCAAGTGTCCAGAATCATGTTCGATTGGATTAACAAGAGATGTTTTTGTCGTGTGCGGTTGGTTGGGTGAAGGAATGATAGTACATTCTATAATCTAATTGCATATCTATGATAGGGACTGGGGGCGATACATTAGGACAATGTTGGGGAAAGCAAACTGAAAATCTTACCTTTGAAATTATGAAGCCAAAATGTAAAATAAAGCTTATACTTTTCAAATAATACACTTTTTATTCAAATAATTATAAAATAATAGAAGCAATAACTTAAATTCTAATTGAAAAATACATAATTTTTGTTTAATCCAAACTATAGATTACTAATAAGAAAGGATAGGTGTATCTACAAGCTTTTTGGGAATAAAAAAGACTATTTCATTAAAAATTAAAACCAAAATACATCTTCACACTTATTTACCTTCGTATAGCTCTCGGTGGACCTTATGTCGTTGATGGTCCATGGCAGCATGGAGGCGGAATACCGCGGGTCGACGGATGCACTCCCGCGATAGGTCAGCGAGACGAGGCGCGTTTTCATCTTGTTTTTCCTCGACTTTCCTCGTTGAAATTGTACTTGTTTTAAATATTTGTTCTGTTTTTCGTAATTTTATTTTTATTGGATGCGTACTTTCACCATTCGATAAACTGTTAAAATTGCAAGCCAAATTGAGTTACGGGCCATTTATTTACTTTGCATTTTATTTGCCGTTTTGCAAATTGCTTTTTAATCGTATTTGGTTGTTTTTCCTTCTCGATTTTTTTTTCTGTTCATGTAGCGTGTGCTGTAGTGCAGAATCGAAATCAATATTTAATGGACATGCGGCGAGGGCGACCGCGTTTCTACATTCCCAACAGGCGGCAGAGCGAAATGGGAGTTGCTGGCGGAATTCGGAGTCCGTGCGCTGGATGAGTCACCACCGCACTGGGGGACTCTTGAATGGCAGCAGGAAGGGGGTGTGATATGGGGAGCTGAGCGGACAATGACCACCTGACTGCGCTTCCTGTGGGAAACTTGTCTCCTTGCCGTCGAGAGCATCCAAGAATTACTATCAATATTGATTTTTTTCTACTACCACTTTCCGACGTCTTTGTTTTTCGCATATTCATGCAGAGACATTTAAGACACGGCTTAGTGACTTCAGATACCCTTATCTAGGATATTAAACTATGAGGATTTCTTAAGGACGAAAGGATCTAATTGGTAATTGATCTATAAGATTGCTCTGAAAAACATTCTTCTTAAATAGAGTAGTTTAATATTTCTGATTTGTTTTATGCAAGAGCATAACAACTTCGACTTCCCTTGTGGAATTTTTTTCCTTTTTGCTTTGGCATTAGGGTCGCAAAGGAGGCGGGGTAGGATGAAGGGGGGTGTTAGAAGGAGGACGAGCCACCACCAGACAGGGCAGGAAGAAGAAAAACAGAGACAAGGCTGGCGGAGAGTCACCCCTAAAAATGCCAATGTTGGAATTTACTTTTTGCGCAAACTTTTTACTTTCTACTTTCCTAAGGTTTCCACTACCTTTTCACCTGCCCTCGCCACACGCACACACACACTGGCACTTTTAGGCCTACACACCTACACTCACGCGGTTAATAGTTAACTGACACACACGCGAGCGATTTGCAACAGAATCAGAAAACAAATGTGTTTTCCCATAGAACGGAATTCTGCAACCGGACACGTTGAAATGCCACCAGATTCCGCTGAGCACTGACACACTATCGCGGCTCCAAAGCTGCTCAGCATTTCTCTATGTCTCGTCCTTCGTCCTGACGCCCGATAATTCGCGACTTGAGCGCACGCGCGTACATTTCAAAGACAGAGGCAGTAAACAAACGCGGTGTTTGCTTATTTTTTTTTCAAAAAGTAGTGTTGCAAAGCGCCAAACCTAATTCTTAGAGATGGAACATTGTAAAGATTACCATGTACATACCAATTTGGTATTTTAATCGATAACTTAATTTATCGACCGTTTTCGGTGGGAACCGGTGGAATTTTTTAAAAATTTCAAATTTGTATTTATCTGTTACTTTTTAACAAGGTATTATTTGAAATTTACGAAAATAGTCAAGATATTCCTTAAAGACCTACCAAAACGCTTGAAAAACTAACTTATTGGAAGCGTTGGCGAATTTTTTTAAAATATTTTAGCTCCTTCAATTTTTAAAGTTTTTCAAATCTTTAGTGACTTATGTTCGAACATTAAATTAATTTAATATTACACTGCCAAAGATTTGGTAAATATATTAGTTTCACATATTCTAAATAAATAAAATGGCTAATAAATATAACAAATATCTAACCTGTGCAGGTGAGACCATCTGCCATTGCAAGCCAAGATTGGTTGGTATATTTTCGGCTTCTGGGCCGTGGTAACACTGCTGTAAGCCTGGCTTAGAGCTCAGATTGAGTCGAAACGCGTCGAGCAACAGGTGTGATTTCTAAACTTGTTATTTTTCCCACCGCACTTGTGAACCCTCTGCGATTGGCGCCCTAAGCCATAGCCATAGACTTTAGCCATCGTGTGTGGAGAAGACACTAGACTTTCACTACGGGTCAATTTCGAGGCCCGAGATCCCAAGCTCCGCTCGCTTTAATTAATGCGCTTCGCACGCGTTGTTGTCGTCGTTGTTTTAGCTTCAGTTTAGTAGTTGTCTTGGCCATATAGAAGCGCTGCGAACGGGTTGATCGAGCCGTGTTTACGATTTCTGCTGCTGCTTTTGCTGCTGCTGCTGCTCGGGCTGTGTGAGTCTAAGTGGTTCAAGTTGGGAGTTTCGTGTTTTCGCATTCGCGTCTGTAATATGCCAACTTCTTTTCGTTAATTTCTCACCCAGAAAACACAATAAGCCCAAGCATCGGAGTGTTTTTTTAGTGAGAAAACCCCATAAAAAAGCTATGAAAAAATGTGGCAAAAAAAAAAATGTTCAAATAGTAGGATGAAGAAAGAGAACAGGCGACATTGTGGGCTATACCGTTAGTGCGCGAGTGACTGTTTAAGCATAATTTAAATAATGAGGATTCTGCACTCGTAATTGATTTAAGTAGTTCATCAGACAGCAGCCAGCATTTGCATAATTTTCTCCCCATACAGAGAAACCGAGGAAATTCGCTGCACAGAGAAAAAAAACAAGGTTCTAATGTTGATATTGGCCTTGCTTTTTGAGGATTAAAACCCTATAAAAAAAAGCTAAAAATCTTAACTTGAAGCAGAAAATATAAACATTTATTTTATTGTGAACGCCACTTGTTGCAGCAGTCTTGCCGTCTGTGTGTGTATCGGTGCATGCAATGTGTTGCAACTGTATGAGTGTTGTGAACTTAAATGGACAAGTTAGAATCCACATTCCACACGCCTAGACAACAACAACAACAATGGCCGAGAAGGCCAAGCAGTATAATGGCCAGGAATACGGCCGCTGATCTATTAGTTTCTTGGGCAAATTTCAAAATAATTGCAACATAGCCGGGACCGAGACCGGGAACCGAGCAGTGGAAATGTGAAATTGATGTACGATAAATTATTTGTAATCTGTGGCAAGAACGGCCACTAGCCAAGTTCTATTACAAGTGCACTGGAAAAATTAAATTTAAAAGGATAACATTATAACAGATATTAAATCTGTATCTTAAATACAAAGATCATCTTTTTTTTTGGTGTGGATTTGTGTCAACCAGCGATAGATGCTTTTTGTTGTTGCTTCTTGACCCACACACATGGTTATTGAACCAAATCTATAACCATTGGCCTTAATTATCATAACAATGGACAAAAAATAACACAAAAATACAAAAACCTTCCTCTGCGAGGAGGAGAGCAAAGAAAGATGAAGCTAGAAGCTATCTAGAAATTGAGTCTCTGCATAATTAGAACGAGCGAAAGGTTAGCACCGTGGGTTAAGGTTGAAATTGGAGTCGAAGAAGATGTGGAAAAGCTGTGGGATATGTATAGGAAATGGAAAATACTATACAAATCCGGTGTTACCTGTCCGATTAAAATGGAATGCCGCTTTCATTCACCGATTACACGACACCATGCTGGGCAGTAATTAATTTTTAAAAAGTTAACCTTGAACAGAGATCACAGTTTTTAGGTCAATGAAAGCTTAAAAATATCCATTCACTTAAACAACTTCATGTTGTGATAATAATAATTCAAAGAAATAATATTTATTAAATTAAAAACTATTGTTTTAAAGAAACAAAAGAAATGTTTAATCCAATCATACTTTTTTAGACAAAGCCATTTGGTTGATTTCTATTTTGGGACCTTTAGAATTCAACTAATTTGCTTATGAAATAAATAACTCATCTTCACAGAACAATGTAAACAAATGGGTTTAGCGTCTTTCTATTGTCTGGCCAAATATATTAACACTCCAAATCTATTCTTAACCCACGTATCCACACCGTCCGCCCACCGGCCCGCAAAAAGAAACTGTAAACCGTAAAGTTTTCAAAGAATTCATAAGCACGCGCTAATGCGAATACTAATACCATGCAATGGGTCCTCATCCACGGGTTCTCCATCTCTCCATCAGCCACTGACCATGGGTCGTACCCCTGACCACTTCCCCTCCTAATGTCCCACACTCCCCTCGATCGCGATGCGTAAGGCGGGTCTGAAGCACCTGTTGTTGAACAACGTAACCGTGCGTGTTCCGGTTGCGTCTTATTAGAAGCCCCAGTCGGTGGCCCCCGGGCCAGTCGGAGAAAAAGGCCAACAAAAATACAAAACACGTACCTAGGGAGAAAGACGCGATACAAAAAAAAACTGCGCTGAAAACCGGTTGATGTGAAAATGAAAGAAAATACATTTTTTCAACCTACAAATTACAGTCGAAATTCTTGAAGACTTACTTACTTTTATATTAAAAATATTATTTTAAACATTAAAAGGGAAATAAATAGAAAAACTTGACCTGAAATTGAAAAACTGGTTTAAATTTTAAATTTTAAACTTTAAAATTACAAATACTTCAAAAAATTGGAAGAAAATTCGATATCCACGATATACCAAAAACTATTTTAGTTGAAGACTAATTTTAAGATTATTAATATTATTTTAAAGTTATAAATAGTTCTAAAAATCTTATCTATCTAAAAGATTTTTAAAGAATTCGAAAAAAGGAACAAAATAATAGAATCCAACAGATACTAAGATACATCAAAAAAAAACTTATAACTTATAACTCTTAAAAGGAGTTAAATATTAACTAGTGATATTAATATTTAATATATTAAATATATTAAAATATTAAAACCCTAAATAGATCTAGTTTTTCATGTTTAATTCCACTTTAAATAAGCTTGACTGTATTTTAGTTTTCTTTACTTTAATGTCACTAAAGAAATGGAGTTTTTCTTTTTTCCACAGGTTCGAATTTGGTGAAATCAATGCGTAGAAAGTGAATCGAGGCTTACGCAAAGTTGGGGGAAAAGTGAAAAGCCGCGGAAAACTCGGTTCACCAAAAAAAAAATAAAAATCAGACCCCTTTGAATACCAAAAGAGATTGCGTTTGCCACTTGCCACGGTTCGGCATCGTAGATTGCGTGCTTTTCCTGGCCAAGATTAAGAGGAGCTGCTGCTGCTGTCGGCAATCAGCTATCAGCTGACCGGAGGTGGAACGAGAGAGCTGGAGCCAAACACCTGGGCGACCGGCGGCGCCCACCTGCCGTCTTAGATGCGTCTAATCCAAACGGCAACCGGCGGTGCTGCTGCGACCGTTCTGCAGTCCCAGTTCCACTCTCAGTCCCAATACAACTACACCAATATGCGTGAAGACGATATCGAGCTGGCCATCAAAGTGGTAAGTTACCTGGGTCTTGGTCTGGTTCTGGGCTCTGCTGGACCGGCTTCTCCATTAGAATGCTGAATGCCTGTAGCGAGAAGGCATGTCGGGATAGCTTTGAATGGCACCTGAGAGATCAAAACATGATAGATGTGGATTGGCATGTCTGATGCTAATGGGGAAGCTGCACGGATTATGGTTTTAAGTTCAATTAAGGCTCTCCACTGTGTTGGTGAATTATTTCTGGATGTCTGGAGGTGTTCGAGATTGATTCCATTCCACATACTTCTTCGGAAATGTCTCTTAATCAAGAAATTTACGCAAATAATTGAGTTGATTGCTTTTTAAACACTTAATTATACGTCCGAATAACAGTCTAAAATGTGCAATAGAAAGCTGAAATGGATAGTTTTTTCGCCGTTTTAACGATCAAAGCTAAAATAATTAACAAAAACTATTAGAAAATATAAATATGTGGAAATCATTCATAAAACCCATCATTTCCCATTTGCAGGTCATTGTGGGAAACGGCGGCGTGGGAAAATCCTCAATGATCCAGCGCTACTGCAAGGGCATTTTCACCAAGGACTACAAGAAGACGATCGGCGTGGACTTCCTGGAGCGCCAGATCGAGATCGACGGCGAGGATGTCCGCATTATGCTGTGGGACACGGCCGGACAGGAGGAGTTCGACTGCATCACAAAGGCCTACTATCGCGGAGCTCAGGCCTCTGTCCTCGTCTTCTCGACAACGGATCGCGCCTCCTTCGAGGCCATCAAGGACTGGAAACGCAAGGTGGAGAACGAATGCAACGAAATACCCACGGTCATTGTCCAGAACAAGATCGATCTGATCGAGCAGGCGGTGGTCACCGCCGACGAGGTGGAAACGCTGGCCAAGATGCTAAACTGCCGCCTCATACGCACCTCCGTGAAGGAGGACATCAACGTGGCGTCCGTGTTCCGCTACCTGGCCACCAAGTGCCATCAGCTGATGACCCAGGGATACGACCAGGCCGCCGGCAACCAGCAGAACTCCAGCCATCCGCCCTACAGCAGCACACCCACAATCAGCGCCTTCAGTCCGACCTTCACCAAGTCCAGTAGCGGCACCATCGTCCTCCGGCCGGCCAAAAAGGGCAGTGGCTCCAGCGTGGCACGGAAGCGCAAACTAGTGCTGAAAAAATGCGGCATTTTGTGAAGAGTAGCGGTGGTTAGAGACTGGATGGACGCGGTGGCTGTGGGCTTTGGGCAATTAATAACTGGAGCATATTTAACGCTTAATTATTTTGGAGCCTAATGAAGTCGTAGCCGGGTGGGCAGCCAACCGTTGGATGCAACCACAGCCACCACAACGGCCATCCACTAGTCGTGCCCAGACTCCGCGTGATGTGGCTCAGACATGCTCGCTTACCAGCACCAGGGAGATAATCGGAGGAAGTAGCAGCGAAGTAGATCTTTGAAAGAAGCCGCAAATATTAAATACCCTTGCAGAAGATTCTAGATACTATAAATATTAAAATACTCAAAAATATATAGAGATATGGCAGTTCTTAAAACATACTCATGCTGATGAGATTCCAGTACTCAAACCTTAGTCACGATAGCCTTTATAGTATAAACCTTAAAGAAAGAATAATACCCGATACTGCAAGGGTATTCGAGTTCTCAAAAACCATAGACAATATGCAGAAGCACTATGTAGCTGCAGCTACAAAAAATGAAATTGCCCTAATTAGTTTTAGATACGAAGTGAAATCTGTATGTATTATGCCCACTTTTCTATAACGGAGACTGATGCAGCTTGCTTCTAATATCGGATATGTATATAAATATGTTGTCATGGATATATAAGCATGCCTAACCAAGCACCATTAAAAGGCTAACCATCACGCTAACCCATCCATGTCCATGGTGTCCATGTGAAATCCCTTTGCCAATCTTTCTTGGCCCAATGTGCAATTAATTATTCGGCTTATGTAATTATTAACTAATTGCAAGTCATGACAAAGGGCGATTTGGCTCGATAGTTCACACTCTATGCTATCATACTGATCATAATCATTTTTGTAAGCCGACTAAACTAATAAATAAGCCTAAGTCTATTGATATATTTTATTTATAATTACAATGTCTCATTTATATACTCCCCTAATAAATTATTATGTAAATTAACTGAAGAATTGTATTTTATTTAAGAGGGTTTAGGGGAATTGAAAAACCTTGTATTATGTAGTTTTGAAATGTTTACCATTTTTATTTGATTTTTGATTTTACACTTTTTTTTTTGTAAGCTTGACAATTTAGCGATCCGCTTTTGTTACACCTTCGTTTATACGTTTCCTTCATTTTTTTTATAATTTTAAAGTATATTTAAATAATATTTGTTATTCTATTTACACAGCGTTCAAAAAGTATCGCTCGGTAACGCACAAATCATTAAATGTTTCTTTATATCTATTTTGTTTGTTGTAATTTTCATTCATCATTCATCGTGTGTTTGTTGTTTCCTTGGTTTATGAATAAAGGCATAAATAACTATTCGTCGATTTCCGTACTTATTTATTTACACAAAAGTCGAAAAAAATCAAAATATCTTAGATATAGAGAGGCGGAGAGATAAGATAGATAGGGTTTGACTTTGGGCGGGTGGTGGCCGGGGGAAGAGAGTGGTTTAAGCTGAGCATAAAACTGTGTTTCTTGCAGGCTGAGCCCTTTATAGAGTGTGGGTGGGTGGGTGTTTTTTTTTGTGTGTGTCGTATGTGTGTGTGTGTGCTAACTCCTTGTGTTCTAGTCTTTTTTTTATAAAATTCCTATAAAAAATATAATTTTGCTTTCCTCCTTTTTCAATTTTACTCGCTACGAAACTAATGTGACTTGGAAACTAATTTCTTGGCACTAAATGAATCAAATGATAAACTTTAAACCGAAAACTACCAATGTTAATGTTAAATGTTTTATCTATAGGGTAAATTTGTTAAAGTACATTATTTTTATTTTAAATAAAAATGTTTCAAAAAAAAATGTAGCTTGTTTTGTTGTGTCTGTGGTGGTGTTGTGGGTGTCCTGGTGTCTGGTGTTTAATGGGTTTAATACAGCCCTTTCTCAAATTTGTTAAGATTATACGAATATGTAGACATAGACTACATACATTAGAACATTCTCAGTTTCATTTTGAATATATATATTCTGCACTTGGTAAACTTTAAATTATTTAAGTATATCAATTTTCACATTTCTTTGATGTTCTTGTTAGTAAGTGGTGTTGTTTTGCGTGTGGGGGTCCTGTGGCTTATTTTTAGTTTTTAGTTTTTTAGGGACTCGGTTGTTGTTGCTTTTGCTGTTGCTGTGTTTTGGTTCCTACATAGAGTAAAAGTTTTAGCCTAGATACACACTCCATATATGTATATAAGTGGTTATATGTTACTCCTATTCGGAAATGGGAAAATCATCGTTATCGGCATCGCCGTCATCCTTGCCCTCCAACGATCTGTACTCGTCAGAGTCCTCGCTTATGGCGGCCGCACCAATCGACATTGGTAGCATTTCGGCTGTGCTTATAATTGGATCCGCATCCAAGCTGGCTAGGATGCTAGCACTACTAGTTATTGCTGGTATTTCTAGGGGGTTCTGGGGCACATAGATGGTGATGGGTTCCAATTGTGAATCCAGCTCGGTTGGAGTTGTTTCAATGGGGTTCGGATTTTCTTCAGCCACAGGCTCTAGACTCTTCAACTCGTCGCGTGGTTCCTGTTCCAATGTTTGTTGTTGTTGTTGTTGTGTTATAGGTTGTGTTATTATATCAGCAGAGGCCAACAGTAGATCCAATTTAAGTTTGCTCGATGCCGTTGGCTGCTCTGTTATCACAGACTGTGCTTGAGTTGCTGCCATCACTGCTGGCGAGGGTGTCGCTGCTGGATCTGAGGCAACCGCTGTGGTTGTGGTTGTTACTGTCGCACTTTCTGCTGCCGTTGCTGTTGGTGTTGCTGTACCGCCAGCAGCACGCAACTCATCCTCCTCGCTGACGCTGATGTAGCGACAACGTTCGCTGAGCAGCGAAGCCGACTCGTCATCCTCCTCGTTCACGCTGGTAATGCTCACCGTGCGCTGCTTAAAGCTCTGGTAGACACTGCCGGTGGTGCTGGGCGCATCGACAATATCTCTGGGCGACGCAATGGCTGTGGCGGCGGATGAGCTGGCTGCAAAAGGGAGAATGAATATTAATTTCTTGTACATTGACGGCGATTAGAGCTTCACTTACACTCTAAGCGCTCCCGCCGCGATGTATTTCGAGAGGGCAATGGCGCCAACTTGATGCGATAGAACTTCGAGCCCCTGCTGACCCGATAGCGATTGTCATCCTAAAATGGTACAGCAACAAATTGTAGAATAGCTTCCTTATATTAATAAGAGACTCTTACCTTTCGTGCCTGGCAGTACTCCTTGTCAATGACCCGTCCAATAGCGTAGTAGGGCAGCGGAATTTGATTGATCTCCGCCAGGGGTAGCGAGGAGTCAGCAGGTCCTGCTATCGCCGGAAGGGAAGTGACCGGAGGGGTCAGCTGCAGGGCCGCCAAACTATCAGCATGCACGAAGTACAGGGTAAGCGAGTCCTGAACCACCATGAACTGCCCGTGCCGCATGCTCCACACCACAAAGACCAAATCGCCACGAGAACATCCCTCCAAGGCGATGACCCGATGGTTGGAGATACCGCTGGACCTGGAGCGGGTCATGGTGCTGCCCATGTTCAGATCGTAAGCAGAGCTAAAAAAAATAAAATTTATTAGAAAAGTAATACAATAATCTTGGAATGGACGTTTACCTCCTCATGGCCGCGACACTAGTTTCCATTTCGATGCGACGACTCTTCTCCTGGCTAAGCTCCTCCTCCAAACGACTCTTGTCCCTGTTGAGATAGTCGATCTTCTCCTTGAGCCAGCTGTTGCCGTCCTCGTTGGTGATCATCTCCAGGCGCGTCTTCAACTGGAACGACTCCTGGGTGAGGATCTTGTTCTGGTCGCGCAGTTGGTCCAGCTGTTTCTCCTTATCCGCCAGCATCTCCTTCAGAATGCCCACGTTGGCCATCACAGAATCAGAGTTAAGGCGCGACTGCCACAAAGACCGTTCCGACTCTACGGCCTCGATGATTTCGCGATCCCTTTGGGCGAGTAGCTCCTGGCGCTGCTGAGCCAGCAGATGGTCCACATCCACACTGGCGCTAACCACACTAGCGCTGCTCGTCGGCCGCTCAATCTTCTCCAGGCTGGTGTCCGAGGGCGAACGCTCCATGGAAGTCATCAGCTTGAACCGGCAGCGCAGCGACTCCAGCTCCGTTTTGTGCTCGTGAATGAGCTGCTCCCGGGCCTGGGCCACAGCCGTCTGCTTCTCCTGTTCCGCCAACTCCAGCTTCAACCGCAGCTCGTCCAACTGCTCCTGGGCTCGCAGCTCGCGCTCCTCGCACTGCATTCTCAAGACGTTCCACTTGTCCTGCAGATGATGCAGTTCAGACTGAAGCTCGTCCTGGTAGTTGGCCGCATCGCTTCGAAACACTCCCAGATTGTAGCGAGCTTCCTTCAGACAAGCTTTCGCCAGCTTGGACATGTCCTCCATGGCGCCACGCATCCTCTGCATACTGCCCCCGTTCTCCTCCGTCAAGGTGCCAGCACTGAGCATCAGCAGCTGGTCCGTGGCCGTACTGCGGGCCACTTGCTCCACCAGACTGCCGGACATGGAGGTGGCCACGCACCTGGACGTGCTACTGAGCTTCTCGAACTCTGTTTCCGTGTCCGTTTCGCAATCCGAGGCAGCTGCCTGGGCCTGCAGCTCAGCCAAGCGAGGTGCTAACAGCGGGGCGTCCTGGTCCTGTTCCGGAAGCTGTTCTGAGTCCGGATTCCGTTCTCGGAGGACGAAGAAGTCTATCACAGACTGCATGTCGGGCAGCTGCAGCTGGGCAGCCATTTCGGGCAACTGCGAGGAGAGCAGCTCCATGTCCGAGGGACTCAGCGGCGGCAGGCCGGTGTCGAAACTGAGAGGATGCTCGTTCGCAAAGGCGGGCGGCATGTCCCCCATGCCCGGAAACAAAATCTTAAGGAAATGGCCCTCGAATCGTTCATTGAACTCTCTCCTCCTCCTCAGCTCCTCGGTGTGGATCCGGTCAAAGTCGATGGAGAGCCGCGTGGCCCACTGGCGGAACTCATCGGAGAAGATCTTCCGGCGGACCACCTCTGCCACAGCGTCCACGTATATGCTCGGAGCTCGGTGGATCTGTTCGATGATGCAGATGTGCCGCTCGGCACGCTTCAAGCAACGATGGTTGAACAGCAGCCGGTTGTCGAACTCGCTCATCCCGTTTTCAACCCAGACTATCCTCCGCAGCCGCGCATGGAGATTCCTGCCCAGCTCCTCCTTGGAGTTGGCGATGCAGCGACACAGCTCGCGGATCTTGATGTGGTTGTCCAACATAGCCTGGATCTGCGAGCGGTGCGACAGACAGAGATCGGGCAGGACGGAGTTGTCGCGGACATTCTGGGCCCGCGCATCGTTGTGCAGCAAAGCGAGTGCCTGCTCCTTCTGCTCCTTAACCATATCCGAGATGCGTTTCTTAAACTCCTCCAGTTTGCACAGCCGGTCGCCCAAGCCCTTGATCTCCTTCACATCGCCCTGGTTCGCCAGCTTAATTATGTGCTTGACCTCCTCCTTCAGCTTCTCGTAGATCTCGGCATTGAATGTATCCAGCCCCTGGATGCACTCATCCGACATGAGCTGCAGGGCGCCGTGGTTGCCCTTCGAGCTGATCCATTGCAGCAGATTGAGGTTGTGCCGCCGGGCCAGCGATGTGCTGCTGGTTGAGGTTTGGGAGACGCGTTCTTGCTGATCTGCTGAAGACGTCTCCTGCGTGTCCTCGTCGCCCATCTTGAGCTTCTTGTTGGGGGAATCGGCCTGCGAGGACTCGGAAAGCGACTGTTGCGGCTGCTGCTGGGTGGCAAAGACATCGTCATTGTCCAGCAGCTCATCGAAGCCATGGAAATCGGCCTCGGCCAAGGACATCAGCGCCGGAAGTATGGGAATCTTGGCCAGCTGTTTGAGATCTTCGGCGAAATTCCGCAACAGTTCCAGGTAGCTGTCCCGCTTCTGCAAATGCCGGTCGAAGGCCAAGCAGAAGTTGTGGAAGCGCTCCTTGAACTCGTTCGTCAGATCCTCCATGTTGGCCACCACAGCGAACCAGCCCTGTTGCTGGAGGTGCTGCTCATGGACCAGGCGCTCGCACAAGCTCCACTCCTTGCGCCCCAGTTCGCTCATTTGCTGCGCCAGCTGAGCTCGCAGGCGTACTGCTTCCAGCGATGGCGGCAATCGATGGCTCTCCTCCACCTGGCGGCGTAGCTCCGCGTCGGCATCCGAATTGGGTATCGTCGGTGCTATTCGCTCGTCGCCTGTGAGGAACATGTAGATGGGATTGTTGTCCGTGCCCGCCGAGTAGCACGAAACCTGGGTGGAGTGCGTCAGCATCTCGCCGCCACTCACCAGCAATACAATATTGGAGGCGGGGATTCCATGCAGCTTGTGTATGGTCTCCTTAAGATTCTCCACCGATTGCAGGGCCACGTTCATGTCGAAGCTCAGCATACGGCCGACATCCACATGGAACACGTACAGCATCATGGAGCTGTTGGTGTTACTCGCCTTTCCCCTGAACTTGGCTCCCGCGCCCTGGAGGGGGTCCTCCTACTGATTCCACTCCTCCTTCTCCTCCTCCTTGGTTTGCTTCTGTCTTCTCACTTATGGTTTGGCAGTGCTTCAGACGTTTCAGTTGTGTTCCCTCATCGGTATGTGTGCTTGTACTAGCGGGTGTTGTGTGTTTCAATGTTATTCTGCAAGATGGAAGAGGAAAGAATAGATTAGGATCCAGTTACTAGTTAATTACTATTTTAATAAAGTACTAAACAAAGTAGTCACTAAATGGGGCTAATCCAATCCAATTCCCAATCACAATTATTAAATATTAATTCGATTCGCTTGAGATTAGCTCACGAGCTTTTCACATGGCTATTTTTAAGCCTTTGGCTTTGGCCATTGATGGAATCTCCCTCCGCCTTTCAACAGCTGTTAGACAATCTGTCGCAGCTACTGTTTATGCTCTCCTATAGCTGGATGGGGGGTGGTGAGCCATGAGAGCCACTAGGGCGGGGGGGGCAGTTCAAATGTTAATGACTAACTGGGCCATTTCCAAGTCGCAATAAAAAATAGCGGCGCGAGCATGTGTACAGACAGACGCTTATTTAATTTTATTTTTATAATTTTGTTTACAGTTTCGTCTAGCAGAGCTTGTGTAAAGCATTTGTGGAGCGATAAGACGCATTACAGGAAAGAAAGAGCAAAAGCCAGTAGACGCCGCAGCCACCGTCGCACTTAGCACACGCGCACTGTTATTACTATTCTATTTTTTATTTTTTGCAATCTGTAAACAGCGACGCAGAGAACGTGTTATCAACGCACCTTGATTCAAATTTAAACACGTCTAGACTTGCGGGCGGATCGAAAACAAATGAGCTAAGAGCGTATACAGAGCGAGGCAGAGACGCCGAGAGAGCGATGAGAGGCGAGATCGAGGGAGAGCGCCACACGTGTGCGATCTAGAGTTGCTCACATTCCAGCTTGTTAGAAGCCAAAGTGGGCTATTTTTCAGGTAGAATTTCAACTGGGTTTTACGCATAGTTTTCTTACGGATCTGGCTTAGATTATAAAACATGGCACTTTTCGCTAAATACTTCAGGTAGGATTGAAATCCGCGGGGATCAGCGTTAGAGAGAGAGAGGCTGGCTGCTGCGCATGTTCAATGCCAACACCGACTGCAACGTCGACAGCGTTGTCACGTCAGCGTCAACGTCAACGCCGACGCAGACCTCTTTACCTGACTTCTCGATCCTTTTTTTTTACCTAAACGAATTTCATCAATTTATAAAATAAAACTTGAATATTTCCAAGACATCCATGCATATGCGTTTCTAAAAATTTTCCATAGTTGACAGACACGTGTAATAAATAAACGGTTCTTCCCGGTAATGTAATGCTGATGAAATACCAGGAACTATTAAATAGAGTCCAGGAAAGCACCTAACTAGGTATAATTTGGAAATCTGATGAAATCAGTATCTCTCCCCGCGACACGGAGAGATACAAATCACAAATCAAGTCGATTAATCATCAATGACACGGTTACAGTGCAATAATCCGAGTTCGCTTTCTCCAGAGTCCTCCGGAATATAGTCACGATAGCGGGTGAGCCCCAAACTGATAAGATTTTATCAGTACGTTTGAGCGAAAACAAGTACAAGGGGAGAACAATGTACCTACAGTGTTTTTACTAACAAAGCTAATGTTATTTTGATTTTTTTTTTTGTATTCTTGATATTTTGAATCATCTTTTTAGACGCATTATATAGCATTTTAATAATCTATAAAAAGTCAGTCAGTAGTTATTACAAACGAAAACAATGCAAGTTAGAATTACTTTTTTATTTATGGCTAAAAAACAACCTAAAATGCAATTTAACGAACAGATTTTGTTGGCAAATATTCTGGTTAAAGGGCAACTAGGCTTACGTCATGGCATTCGAGACTGGAAAGTAATGGTAATGTACTCGTAGGAGGACATGGATCAGCCCTGAACCCAAAATATGAATTCAACTCCCCTCCTATGGCAACTGATTACAGAATATCGCCAGCCATGCCCTGCTACTGCCAGAGTTTATCAGCTCTGGTTGCTCTTCTTCAATGTGGGGGGGCAGAAAAACACTTTCACACAGGGAGAGTGCTACTGAACAGCCGTTAAGGGGGGTAATCTATCTTCAGTTAGTATAATACGCCACTTTACATGGCCAAGAGCCTCTTAACCGTTATTTGGATGCATGATGACTCATAAGAACCTCCAAATGCCTTTGTTTACAAGTTAAGCTGGCAAAGTAAATATGTTAAGAGTAAGAAATATAGAGAAAACAAAATAAACGAAAAACGATAAACAAATTAAGCGGAGTCACTGTAAAAAAAAAACAACTGGAAATCCACGCAAACAAAAAAAAACGCACGATCAGCTGATTCTGCAGCTGCAATATCGATATTCGATAATCCAAGCTGAGTTGCAACTCATTCTCCGCTTTCTTCCCTGTTCCTTTCTCGCTCGCACTCAGCTGTGCGTTTGTTTTTATTTTCTTTTTTGCACCTTGCGAGTACCAGAGCTTCAACGAATGACGAACAAAAACAGATATTCTTGTAAAATATGTAAATTATGGCAATTAATTGCAATTTGGCTCAAACGGACGCACATATTACAACAATGCACGAGGGGGTTGCTGACGTTCAAAAAAGAAAATGGCAGCAGGTGTTGTTACAACCAAAATAGAGGTGCGGGGAAGGGTGAATAATGAAAGAAGGTGGGGAGGTGGGTGAAATTTATGCAGTAAAAAGGGCGTCGTCGTCGTCGGGCGCCACAGTATTAGTGCAGAAAACTAAAACTAACGGTTAATTAAAACCATACCCCACACCATACTCGCACTCACCTTATAATCTTTAATCAATTTTCACAATGGTGCGCCAGTATGTGGGTCTTTTCAATGTTGTTTCAGTGTTCGTGTGTTTTGGTTTTAATCAATTGTAAACGGGCACGAACACAGGCGCTGCAAATTATTTTACATCAGCTGTGGGGCTGTATCCAAGTATGATTGTGTGTGTGTGCTGTATGTTTTTATTTGCCAGCTTCAACAACAACAAAAACAGCGCCCCTCCTCTGGCTCTTTATTTTTACCCCTATGTTCCTTTTCTTTCAACGCGCCACTCTTGTTTTATTTTCCTTTTTGCCTTCCACGATTTTCTTATTTATTATTTTTTTTTTGTATTTAGATGGTTCAGCTTCTTCTTCCGCCTGCTTATTACTTATTACTTTAAAAGCTATTTTCGTTGCGTATCAAATGTGCAAGTGTGTAAAACCATTTACTCGAGTTCCTGTTGTTCGAGCAAAAATATATTTTCCATTTTATTCGGCCTGTTTGCGTTTCTTGAATTCCTCTTATTTTCGCTCTTTCGCTGTTTTCTGTTTGCTTCCCTTCTTAATCTATTTTTCTTTGTCTATCACAATTGCGTTGTTGTTGCTGCTGCTGCTTGTTGTTGCTGGCAGTTTTTATTTCGCGTCACTTTTTAGCCATTTACACGAAGCTGGCATTAGCGCCGTATGGGTTTTTGATAAAGTATAATTTCACTCGCGCATATTGTGGCTTTTCTTAGGTATCTAATTTAATTAAATTGTATAAAAATGAAATAACGCACTTCGTTCTCACTTTTTGTCTTTGCTTATGCCTCGCGATGTGAGAATGACAACAGTTTTTCAAGTCGATATCGATAGCTGTAGGGGTGGTATGCTTAAGAATATTTACAACCTGTGACTTGAATTGCTATTAGTTTCGTACTTACAATAATAACAAAAACAATTGTTCTAGTTTTAATTGATTTAACTATTTATAAAATTGATAGTTAACTACTAATTATTTTAAACTAACTGTTTGTTTTTAATCCGCGATGAACGATTTTACCATCGCTAGTTGATTTTTCCACCAACCTCTTATCGAAAGTGGTCCACCAATAGCGAAAAGTGAAAAAATATATTCCGAAAAAAGTTTTTCTTTTTAGTAATTTACGCGGCCCACAAAAAGTCCAAACATTTATTATAATTAAGTCACATGTGTAGGGATTAGGGGGTAAAATAGGTCACAATTCAAATCACACTTCGACTAACGTCAACCGAACGAATTCCTCAGTTTCTTTTCACCCATACAAACACATTCAATGACTGGGACAGGGGCGGTACATTTCTTTTGCATTTTCTTAGGAGTTCTTTGAGATAGTATTTTAGTCTATATCTTTAGCCTTATACATGATAAACAGAACACATATATTACTTTCTGTATTTTGCCCTCATTACATTGTATTTTTTCGTAACTGAAATTGATTTGAAAATCGACCAAACCAATCGTTTCCCAAATGATAAACATACATACCATAGAAAATGTCACTGACTGCACGCCAATGTACCTGCCACACAGCTTGTATCTCAAGCCGTTGGCAAAAATGCAAATCTCCGTCTCGCTGCCGCCTATTAAATCTGGCAAATCCGTATCCAACTTAGAGATAATGGACAAACTGAGCAACGAGCTCAAACCTGACAAGTTTCTGTTGCTTAAAGTGAGTTTATGCCTTGTTTACTTCGGAAAACAATGGAATACTTACGTTTCTCTGTGTATCTCAAGGTTTCAAAGAGCACTGTAAACACAATTCGTTTTGAAGCTGAACTGGACGACCGCAAGCGGCTTCGGCTGGCCACCCAACGCCTGGATGGCATCTCCCTGCGACTCTCTGGTTTCAGTGAATCCTTTCGGATACGTTGCACCGAATCCAAAGACGAGTTTCCAACCCGTCACGACTGGGATTCATATTTCCGCGATGCTCGGAATATGGATGAAATGAAAGCCGGTGAACGTCCAGACACTATCCATATCAGTCATCTGCCTATGCGCTGGTTCTGCCCTCGGCACTCTGAGCATGAGGAGAATGTCAAACCCAGCGAAAGCATTTTCAAGCGAATGTTTGAAAGGTTTGGACGGGTCCGTGCCGTGGACATTCCCATCTGCGATCCATACCGCAAAAGCATGCAAGCGGAAATCAGCGGAATGCGTACGTTTAGTTTTGAACAGGATGTTCTATTCGAAGGGTATGAATTAAATTCTCTGGTTTTAATACTTAATGTTTAATGTTCTTTTTTTCTAAAGGTATGTGCAATTCGAAGAATACTCCAGCTTCGTTCGTGCCATGGACGAGTTTAGAGGCAATAAGTTAGTGCGCAAGTTTGTGGATAAAGCACTAGCTATAAATATATGTGTAAACTTCGACAAGCAGAAGCATCTAAGCGACTCGCACATCCAACGGAGGGACCGCATGCGCCAGAAGTGCATTGCCAAGGCTCAGGCGGAAGATGCGGAACGGGAAAAACTGAAAAAGCAAGAAGCCGAGCAGTTGGAACGTGAAAGGTTTGATTCGAATTCTGGGTTGGGAAATGATAACAGTAGTTCCGATTTATTTCTTAAAAAGGTTTTTCAAAATTTGACTGCATTACTGGTTTCATTTCTTGGCCTTTATAATTTATATATTATGCTTCTCACCTGGCGGCCGTTGGGCGAGGCGAGCCTTTAGCCAACCGTTCTCTGTATCTTCTAGACGAACAGTTAACAAATATTTATTATGCATAACAAATTCATATATCAAAAGCAAAACAAAAACCCGCAAAATTGCAACAAAATTACAGGCAAAAGCAAGAAGAGTTGAAATTAGCGGAAGAACAAAAACAGCGTGAGCGTGAAGAAAAGCGGAAAGAAAAGCACTTGAAAAAGATCCAGGAGCGGGGTCAGGTGGAAATTTCGCAAAAGATTCGCTTGGAGGAACGAAAGCTGATGATAGCCCAACGCAAGCTGGAAAGTATTCGAACACTGGAGAAGCTTTTTGAGCGCATACAGGTTGGTCTACCGATTTAAACGTTTTACTATCATTACAAGTCAACTATCGTTACAGTCTAAGCAAAAGGACAAGAAAAACCGGGCCAAGCATGACGAAGCTAAGGACATTCAGCGGGAACGACTGGTGGAAAAGTACAAGGCGGCCACTGAAAAGCTCGTGTGTGATCAGCGTAAAATTGTTCAGGACATCAAGAGCAATACACCACTGATGGGCCTGCTCAAGAGTAAAACGAAAAAGAGTACGATTGATGCCAGTAGTGATGATGAGTCGGCTGCCAGCAAAAGGCATAAAGCCATCAATGGCGAATCCAATGGACCGTCAGCAAGAGCCTTTGGCGACGATCCCAACTCTGCGTTGAATCCCTTGAAGGCAGTGGCTGCCATAGCTGCTGGGGCAGTGCCTGGAACAGCGAACTACAGTGCGGAGGCGGCTAGCGAGTGGATGAAGTCCCTGCAAATGTTCGGCTACGGTCTGCCAGGAGTCTTTCCGGGTGCGCTTTATCGCCCGCCTGCTCCGTTTCCCGTCTCAAGTAATTATCGCGGGTTTGCTCCGCGTCCTCGAATTCGAGGTAGGGGACGTGGCAGCGGACTAAGAGGCAGCCGTTCTGGATACGACTCGTACTACAATTCCAAGAACGATCGCTACGATAATGATGGAGATAATGGGTACTATCACAAGTCATCGCGTGGCAGGTATGAGCTGGACTCCCAGGCTTAAATTATAAAAAGTAAAATGTCTTCTCCTTTCAGAAACCGTTCGCGGTCCACATCGTCGTACTCCAGAAGTCGAAGCAGATCTCGTGGACGCCGGTAAGAAATTCTACGAATTCAAAACGAATGGATTACATGTGTTTCATAGAATTGTTTGTCGCTCTAGGAGGTCCCAGTCCCGAAGTCCAAGTCGCAGTCGGTCCCACTACAGAAAGTCTTCATACTCATCAAGGTCCAGGTAAGGTTTCTTTCTGCCTCAAACAAAGTTTATGTTATGGCACTTTAAAGTATAGTTTCAGGAATAATATTCTAAATTTTAATTCTACCTGTTTTTTAGACGCAGCCACAGTAGGTCTCATTCCCGCAGCCGCAGCAAGACACCACAACGCAAGAACCGCAAGTTGGCCTCCACTCGACGATCCCGCTCGACCAGCTACTCCAGATCTCGATCCCACTCACATTCCCGCCGCGAACACCGCAGCCGCCACCGGAGTCGGAGTCGGACTCGTAGTCGTAGCCGTTCTCGAAGCCCCACTCCGAAAAGCGTTAAATTGGAGGCGGATAAACTAGTGGCTTCTGCTGAGAAAATACAGCGCACCATCGAGAAACACACCAAGGATCGGATGCGGGAGGAAGAGCGGGAAATTAAGCAAAATTTCCGTCAGCCACGGCACAACAGTCACAGCAATCATATGGACCTGCCGGAGGAGTCCAGCCATGGAGATAAAAATGATCGACAAGAAGGCAGCAAGCGGAGTAGCCGTCGCAACTCACTGGCTGCCTGAAATATATTTTTTAGCTTAGATGTTATAAGTTTAACCAATAAAAGTTTTAAGTTATTCTGCAGAAGGTTTATCTAATAATTTATATTATAGGGAAAATGATTTTCATATTAAATTTTTGAAAGGAAGATTTAAAATTACATGATTTCCACCATCAGAAGATGGATAGCCCGAGAACATAATTTGTGTAATAACTGAAATATCTCAAAATCGAACTTATTTTAAAAGACAAGAATCAACAATCGAAAGATGGCTTATAAATATGTATATTTTAAACTTAAAACCCCTAAAAAGATTTCCAAAATTTAAAAGAATGACTTGGCAAAAGTGATACTCAATGGGGGTGCATTCATTTTCAATTTTTAATTTGAAATAGTTCTAGTTAAAAAAAGCATTTTTGAATTACAATTGGGTTCAAGTATCTGGCGGACCCTTTACTATTTTACAATTGGTTTTGGTTTTTGGGTCATTTTAAAACAATATAAATGTAAAAATTAAAAAGCAAGACTTCTAAATGGAGATTGAGTCAACGACGGAGAGTGGCTTACAACTGAAGAATGTATGAATGTAGATCTGTGGTGGGATTGCCATTAGTAGCGTCTGTTGTTGTTATTGCGGCCGCGACTTCTTCCACTTCCATATCCGTTTCCGCCAACACCGGGCGGTGCGTCGTTTCCTCCGACGTTTCCACCGCCATTACCAACAGGCCCGGAATTATTGTTACCACGCCTCCGACGTTGACCTCCGCCTCCATTGTTTCCACCCCTTTGGAAATCACGATCCCGATCATTAAAGTTATCAGGACCATTATTTCCAAAGCCATTCGGGTTTGGATTGGAGTTTCCATTGTTTGACCATGGTGCGTTGGATGCCCATGGATTGGGCCTGCCTCCGGATGGATCCCACTCTCGCTCCTGCTCTCTGTTGTCTCGATCCCGGTCCCATTCCCTTTCCCGAGGCCGCTCCCGTTCTGCCTCTCGTTCCCTTTCCATTTGCTCCGGCGGTGCCTCTTCTACAAACTCCGTTTTGGGCTGTTGCGCCTTCACAGTCACCAAGGATGGCAGGAAGGGTTTCTTAAGAAGGAGCAGTTCTCTTACAGACACCAACTGGGTATTGTGTTGTCTGGGTTCAAAGCGGGATTTCTTGGTGGGAGGGGAGACCACATCTCCACGCGCCTCCACAGTGGGCGAGACGGACCTTGAGCGATCTTGCAGCGGTATCACATCGTTTAGTTCTTCCAGCTTGCCGGCATCGATATACTTGTTAAGGAAGTCGGGCCCTTGGCGAATGGCGGCCATGAGCCGGGAGTTGGGATGTACTCTAATGAACCGATTATACACAAAAACTCCCACTATAGTCTGGGGATCGAGGCCGTTTAACATGCCACTGGCCACAATGCCTTCGAGTGTGTTTTCGCTAATCTGTTGCTGGCTCAGGCCGCTCGTAGAGTCCTTGGCTTCCCGGGCAGCCAACTCATCGTGAATACTGAGCACGCTGGGATCATCTGCCCGCCGGGGACCCGCCCACTGCACTTGAAAGTTTCGTGGAATGGGCTTGCTGTATGGAACCTTCTTCTCCCGATCGCGATCACTGAGTGATCTGCTTGGATCAAGATCCAGACCGGGAATAAAGCCTTTGTCAGCGGTTAGACTCTCGGTGAATTCTACGCGGTCCTCAGGACCCATTCCAGGTATGACAGCATCATCTAAAAAATACACAAGAAAACTTAACATCTTGATATTGGATTAAAGTTGAGCAAAAACCTACCATATTCACACTCATCCAAAGCAGCCAAGCTAGCCGGCAAAGTGTTCAAATTGTATTTGTCTCTCATCAAATCTCCAGGACGGTTCCGTGTCCAGAACTTGATCGTATGGTCATTGGAGCCCGAGCACAGAATATGACCCAACGGATGCCAAGCTAAGGTCCATACTATGCTGTCATGTGCCGTTTCAACACAACCAATCTCCTTATCCGTCCTTAAAATGAGGAATAACAGAGTTTGAGGAATATTTTAGATTTTGGCAATGTAAGAACTCACCCAACATTCCAAAAGAGTATGGAACCATCGGAGCCTCCAGAACAGAACAATCCTTCGTGTATGGGATGCCAGGATACTGAACTGGCTTCTTTTTTATGGCCGCGGAAAACTTGTACCTCCTCCCGAAGATTACGAATATCGAACAGTTTGAGCAAATGATCTCTGGAAGCAGTGACCAGCCAGTTTCCATTGTCGTTCCACTTCAAGTCCATTACAGTAGATTTGTGGGCATGCCTGAAGTATAAGGTTTAAAACATAAGTATCTATATAATAGTTCTGAATAGATTCTTAGTACGTACAGGGTGGCCAAGGCGATGCCACTCTTTGGATCCCAAATCTTGATGGGCTGTTGGTTATCTTTACTTCCGCTCACGATCATTCCCTTCTGGGGATGCCAATGCACACATTTGACGTCAGCTCCGTGACCTAATCACAGAAATGTTATTACTAACATATATTTTAAAAATCTTATATTTTTCTATGAAAGCTTACCTCGCAGGACTCTCTCTTCCTGGCAGCGCATAAAGTCCCAAATCCTCAGGGTTCCGTCATCGCTTCCGCTGACAAACTTGCTGTCCGTGGGGCTGAAACTGCGTTTATTGGATTGCATTGGATAATGGTTAGAACGTAACGAAAGACGGATTGACTGGTGATTATGAATGTGGCTATGAGTTCTTAGTAAGTGAATACAAATATCAAATATTCTATCCAGTACCTCACAAAATAATTTTATTAAATCTCATACGTCTTGAACATGAACACTTTTATTGAAAATATTATTTTATTAAATTGAAAAAATGAAAAAAAGACCAGTATGTTATTCTGTAAAAAGTATGTTATTTAAAAATCCAAGAATGAAAATCCGAAATAATGTCGTAAATCCTTTGAATTGCATCCTTTGAAAGAGTGTAGTGGTTTCTAATAGATACGGCCGCAAGATCACCCATTCGCCAAAATAGATCGCCAGGACTGATAAAGAAAACACTCGAACCCCCGAATTTTCGAATAGTGCGATGCATTGCTTTTATTTTATTGTTAAAGTCGTGGCCGCGTAAATAAAATGGTGCAGTTTTTTTTTTATTTTCATCTTAGTCAGTGGCATTTATTGTTCGATTTTGTATCTTGGTATCTTATTATTTTTATTGATATATCACAGAAGAGAGTGAGTCTTACAACATATTAGGAACTTCTTGCAATAAACAGAGATCTGAAAAATCAGAGGGCCAACCGGAGGGCCAGGAAGTTATTCCAATCTAATCTACTGGTGGCTTGTTGCTGAACGGCTTTATTAAATTTATTTGCAACAGCCTTGAAATGAACCGATCCACTAAACTAGCTAGAAATCCAACAATACCCCAAACTAATAAAACTATAGAAGCAATGCGTACTAGTCCCTCGATTCGGTTGAGGTTCTGACTTTGGTTTTTTTGTTGTCTTTGGCTCTGACTTGTTGGGCTTGCGTCAGCGGCTACAAAATGGTAAATACAATTGACAATTGCAATCAAATGGCTATACCTTATTCCCCTAATCGCCTCCTTGTGGGCCTGGTACATCTTCACGTTATTCATGTTGGACTGCCAGTACTTGACGTAGCCGCCGTGATCGCCCGTCACCATCCAGCTGTCATTGTGGGACCACACCATCGTTCGTACCGAGATATCGTGGGCCTATGAACATTTGTTTGAATAAGTAATACATTTAATACAGTTTGTGAGGTGACACCCACCTGTAGAATAGTCTCAAAGTTAAAGGTCAGACCATTCCAAAGCGTAAACTCTCCGGAACTTGCCCCTGTGACCAACCGCCGACCTTCAGGCGTCCAAGCTAGGGTGAAAATGGGGCATCGCATTTTATTTGTTGCAGTCTTTACAAATCTCGTAGTTACAGCATTCGAAGGGTTGTCCAGATAGCTTGATGGAGGCTGCATATGGGGCACGTAGATGCTATCGGGTTGCAAAGCCAAACGGTCCCGGTGATCCCGCTGCCACAGTCGATTCTGTAAAACCCAAAACCATTAAATATGAAACTTATAAACGCCACCTCAAGCTTTGAAATCAGAGAACCGTAATTCAAAACAAAAAGTCACCTCTAAAGCCTTGATAATGGAAGCGTTGTAGTCGACAGTCTTTCGCATCACGCTTTTCCTTAGCCGCTTGCCATCAAAGTCGTCCTGGGACATGCCAAAGGGCCGCTGAAATCCTCCTGGCATAAAGGGTTTGAACTGGTTGTAGCCATGCTTTCCTGAGCCGTGGTGCGGGTGGTTGTAGTGGTGCCTATAGTGCTGCCCGCCCCCCGACGGCGGTGGCTGAGACGTGTAATTGGTGGCCAGCGCCGACGGGGCTGTTAGCAATTGTGGTGGCGGCTGGGACATGTCCATTTTCTTGTTTAATAGTTTAGGCTAGCTGGCTCTTCTTTTATCCCGCCTTTGGTCTATTTTCCTCTGCGTCTGCAATAAAATTTTCTTTTTTTCACATATGTATAGACGCACACATTGGCACATATAGTTTTTGGGTCAGCTTAGGCTTTGCTTGTGATTTAAGGTGGTACTTACTTTCTACCCTAAATATCTGGCATGTGCTCAATACTTTTTAGTTAAATCTAGTCGTAGAAAATTAGTTAAAAGCGTTAAAACTAGAAATTACTTTTGTTGAACAACGCGAATTTGTTGCCATTCACAGTGAAACTCAACCACCAACGCATGCCGCTAAAACTATCGATAACAAATCATTCAACTTATAATGTTTCTGACAACTTTTTATTTAACTATCTTAAAATACTATTATAGTTTGTAGTTAAACTGTTTTTTTTTTTCAAAATAACTATATGTTTTTTTTGTTTATATTATTTTATCTTCCATAAATGAATTTTAAGCTTATCTTTCTTATCAATTTTTTTCTAGCTGGAATACCTAGCTTTCTAGCTAGCTGTTTCATTCACAGTGAAACTCAACCACTAACGCATGCCGCTAAGACTATCGATAACAAATCATTCAAAAGGGAATTCATTCAACTTTTAATATTTCTGACAACTTTATATTTAAATGCTTTAAAATACTATCATATTTTTTAGGTAAATTGTTTTAATTTTTACAAAATAAATATATGTTTTTTTTATCTATTATATATTATCTTCCATAATTGCATTTTTAGCTTATCTTTCTTATCAATTTTTTTTCTGGCTGGAATACCCTCAATAAAATCATTAAGATGCGCAGTTGGCTTGGGAGCTTCAGATCATCTTACATAATTTTTCCACCATGAATTTTGCCGGTAAGGTTGTCCTAATTACGGGAGCCAGTTCTGGAATTGGAGCCGCTACTGCCATAAAGTTTGCCAAGTATGGAGCATGCTTGGCGCTTAATGGCCGAAATGTGGACAACCTGAAAAAGGTTGCAGCCGAATGCTCCAAAGTCGCTGAATCCTCTCCAGCCCTTGTCGTGGGCGACATCGCCAAAGAGGCCGACACTAAGCGGATCTGGGAAGAGACTCTCCAAAAGTATGGAAAACTTGATGTCCTGGTGAACAATGCCGGAATCATTGAGACGGGCACTATTGAGAACACGAGCTTGGAACAGTACGATCGGGTGATGAACACCAACCTGCGGGCCATCTATCATCTCACCATGCTAGCCACCCCAGAGCTCATCAAATCCAAAGGCAATATAGTCAACGTGTCCAGCGTGAATGGAATTCGCTCCTTTCCCGGTGTCTTGGCCTACAACATCTCTAAAATGGGCGTGGATCAGTTCACGCGATGTGTGGCCCTTGAGCTGGCTCCCAAGGGTGTTCGGGTCAACTGCGTCAATCCTGGTGTGACTGTGACCAATCTTCACTCACGAGGAGGCATGGATCCGGAGACCTACAAGAAGTTCCTGGAGCACTCCAAAAGCACCCACGCACTAGGCCGTCCAGGGGATGTCAAGGAGGTGGCAGCTGCCATAGCCTTCCTTGCCAGCGACGAGGCTAGCTTTAGCACTGGTGTCAGTCTTCCTGTTGATGGAGGTCGTCATGCCATGTGTCCCCGCTAAGGACCATAGAAAGATACTTCTTCAGATTGAAATGCATTTAAAAGTCTTATATTTTCGACTTTATATATTGACTTAATATTTTTATTGTGTAAATTATATTAAATATATTAATTAAAAAAAGGGTTTTCTAATTTGGATAGGACCTTGCCAATATGCCAAGAATGTAAATAATTTAAAACAAATCGAATGTCACATCAAATAAACTCTTTTCAAAATTCCCTGTCTTCCATTTCTGATGTAGTTTTTGTTTTCTGTAAATTTTCTACTCAAAATTTTGATATTCAACTCGATGGGCAGCAATGGCAAGCTGGTATTGGACTTCACCGGCAAGGTGGTACTCATCACCGGCGCAGCCTCTGGGATTGGGTTAGCTACGGCGAAAATGTTTTGTCGGCTGGGCGCTTGCTTGGCTCTCGTGGATCAGGATGAGAACGGTCTTATGAGCATACTGCAGAAGTGTCGAAAAATTGGATGCGAACCGTATGGTATTTGCGGGGATTTGATCGTTCCGGAGGAGGTAGAGTGCATTGCCAAGAAGACCACAGAACGCTTTGGCGCCAAACTGGACGTGCTGGTCAATGGAGCGGGTATCTTGCATGAGGGGACTTTGCAGAGCACAGAGCTAGAATGCTTCTCACATGTCATGGACACCAATGTCAAATCTGCGTTCTACCTGTCGAAGCTTTTACTGCCCCAGTTGCTCCGATCCAAGGGGTGCATTGTCAATGTTTCCGGCGTGTGTGGCCTTCGGACGTTCCCCGATCGATTATCGTACAATATGTCCCAGGCGGCAATGGATCAGTTTACGAGGTCCATGGCTTTGGATTTTGGTACGAAAGGTCTTCGGGTGAATTCTGTAAATCCTGGCTTCATTTGCACTAATCTTCACAAGGCCTCCGGAATGGATGACAAAACCTACGCAAGTATCGTTAAAAGCTCCGAAAAGTCTCATGCTCTGGGCAGGATAGGAAAACCCTCGGAGGTGGCTTCTGCCATTTGTTTCCTGGCCAGTCCACTGGCCAGTTTCGTAACGGGTGTGACGTTGCCCGTCGACGGAGGCAAGCAAGTCATGTGTCCCCCATAAGTTCCTGACAGTTAATCCATTATTATTCCATTCATTTTACATTCGCCATGTTGCACTTCGGAATAGAGTTCAATTTTTCAAGATAATTTGCAAATGCGAAAATTCCACAGGATTGAAGACTATTTTCGAAAATATTCAAAAATTATTAAATCCGATTCATTTGCAAAGGAAGTCTGTAGAACTGTGGTTTAATTTAGGAGTAAAGATACCTTTTTAATAAACTTATAAATAAAGGAACCTTGAATTTTTTACCTTAAATTATAATGCTATAAAGAAATTTTCAAAAACCTGCGTCTTTTAAAACCATTCAAAATAATAAAAATATTTTTTAAAAAACTGTAGAAATGAGATGCCAAATCTATAAAATTCTAAAAAAGCAAGACCTATCTTTAGAAAAATTATATTTTTAAACGTTATTACTTCAGAATACGTTCGATATTAAATTTTTATTAAAATAAAAACAAATACATAGAAAGTACATTAATTGTTTTCGAAAATTTTGAAAAACAAAAACATGAGTTGCGTTATTATCTAGGACACATGGCATGGCGACCTCCGTCCACAGGAAGGCTGATACCGGTACTAAAGCTGGCCTCTTCGCTGGCCAAGAAGGCTATGGCGGCTGCTACTTCCTTGACCTCTCCGGGTCGTCCCAGAGCATGGGTCACCTTGGCATGCTCCAGAAACTTGGAGTAGGCTTCGTCGTTCAAGCCGCCACGACGCTGCAGCTCGGTAATAATCACACCGGGATTCACAGAGTTTACCCGGACACCCTTGGGAGCCAGTTCAAGGGCAACGCACCGTGTGAACTGGTCCACGGCGGCTTTCGAGACGTTGTAGGCCAAGACACCGGGAAAAGAGCGAATGCCATTCACGCTGGACACGTTGACAATGTTGCCCTTGGTCTTCACCAGTTCCGGGGTGACCAGCATCGTCAACTGGTAGATGGCTCGAACATTGGTGTTCATTAGACGATCGTACTGCTCCAGACTGGTATTTTCAATGGTGCCCAGCTCCAGAATTCCAGCATTGTTGACCAGCACATCGATCCGGCCGTACTTCTTCAGAGTTTCAGTCACAATGCCTGCGACATCCGACTCCTTGTTCATATCGGCGGCTACCTGGAGGGCAGGAGCTCCTCCTGCTGCCACAATCTGATCCGCTGTCTCCTTGAGCTTGTCGACATTTCGGCCCACAATCGTCAAAAGACCTCCAAGTTTGGCCAGAAGGACAGCCGTGCCCGCTCCGATACCAGAACTGGCACCCGTCACAATAACAACTTTATCTTTGAAACTAGGCATACTTGCTGGATTCCGTGTGATGCGATCAAGAGTGGCTATGATAATGGCAATGACATTGGAGACCCCACAAGTCAACAAGTGTTTGGGGGGAGCAAGTCGATTATACTATCGATAAAGAGCTAAACTTTAAAAGCTAAATACTTTTATTTCTAGCAGTTGCGAAATTCAAACTAGTTGGAGTCGTGCTTTTGGTGTTAATTAAAATTAATTTATCTTTTTGTTTGGGTGGCTATCAAGATGCTGATATGAATATTATTATTAAATTTTGATTTACTATTTGGTTTCTATTATCTATTTGATTTAAGCCTATTTAGATAGAACATATATTTTTAGATCTATTAGTTTTCAGATTCCACCCCAAATTAAACTTTTATTATTAATTATTTCTATATATTTATTTCCTGTTTGATTCCGCTTGTTTTCTAAAATTCTTCATATGCTCCAATGAATTTCCTGCCTCAAGGTCCCAAACTATCGTGGGCACATGGCATGGCGACCTCCGTCCACGGGCAAGCTCACTCCCGTACTAAAGCTGGCAGCATCGCTGGCCAGGAAGGCAATGGCTGCAGCCACTTCCTGTACATCTCCAGGACGACCCAGAGCATGGGTTACCTTGCAGTGCGCCAAGAACTTGGCATACGCCTCCTCATCCATACCACCACGCTTGTGGATCTCGGTGACAATCACTCCCGGATTGACGGCATTAACGCGAACACCTTTGGAAGCCAGTTCCAAGGCCACGCAGGCTGTAAACTGATCCACCGCTGCCTTGGAGACATTGTAGGCTAGGACTCCTGGAAAAGCTCTTAGTCCGCAGACGCTGGAGACATTGACGATGTTTCCCTTTGTTTTGATCAACTCCGGAGTGGCCAGCATAGTTAGCTGGTACAAGGAGCGCACATTTGTGTTGATCAGACGGTCGAACTGCTCCAAGCTGGTGTTCTCAATAGAGCCAGTCTCCAAAATACCCGCATTGTTGATGAGCACATCGATGCGTCCGTATTTGGCTAAAGTGGCGGTCACTATCTGCTCTACGTCCGCCTCCTTGGTCATGTCAGCTTGAAGCTCTAGAGCAGGTGCTCCACCGACCGCCACAATCTTGGCAGCCGTCTCCTTGAGTTTCTCCACATTGCGTCCCACAACGACCAAAAGTCCGCCCAGACTGGCCAAATGAACAGCTGCCCCGGCGCCAATTCCAGAACTGGCTCCTGTCACAATAATCACTTTGTCCTTGAAAGTTGACATTTTATGAGATGATTATGTTGCTAACCAGGGCCGTCGGAAAAAAATGAATGCGAAATAGCCCTGCTCCAAAAACAGCTGATGGATAAAAAGCTATTCCAAATCAGCTGTTCTGGAAAAGCTTCCAGAGCTTACCAGCATAGTTTTGACCCGATCGTAGATGCAGTTTCGATTAATATATTTTAAATTGTTCATTATTTCAATTAGGATTCATTTCTATAAATTATATTCTTTAAAAAAATTGGATAGTAATTTTCTCGTCGAACTCCTCTAAAAGCCCTCGCCATAAAAGATTTGTATGGTCTATCCAAAATATTCTACAAAAATTAGACCCTCTAAAGACGAATTTGTTTTTTAAACTAGATGTTGTTTTATTCTCTTTTAAAAAACTTCTACGCGTCAGCACGTATGAAATAATGCCCATGTTGTTGTCCTTAAACCTCGTAGCCGTAGGATTGGATGATCTTGTTGAAGGGCTCGGCGGCCTTGGCGATGTTCTCGCGCGCCTTGACCGTCAGCTTCTTCAGCTCGCGGTTGTGCTTCAGAGTGACGCGCAGCTTGGCCTTGCGCTTGCGCTCCAGGCTCTTGATCACATCCTGGTAGTGCCATCCGACCTCGTGGGACAGACGACCGACCTGGCAGTACTTGCGGTCGGAACGCAGGGTCAGCACACGCATGGCAATGGGCACAACGACACGGCGACGCTTGTCATAGGGCGATGGGATGCCATCGAAGACACGCAGACGGGCAAGAGCAGCCTGGCCGCGCTTGGTCTTGTGTGGGATCATTCCTGAAAAGAAGGAATACATTTGTTTATAAGTTTGTGTTGTAACAGATCCATTCCGGAAAGCATTAGTTTTAAGCGTCAGTTTGGTGTTGGTTACACGGTTTCTCGTTCAAATAATGTAGGTAAGAATGTAGTAATCATCACAAAGCTCAAATAAAGTTGTTTTCTGGTTGAATAGCTTACCTAAAATAGAAAAATAAAGTAATTAGTAAGGAATTTTGGCAATAAAAGTAATTAAATAGTTGTAGCAGCAGATTTACTCAGTTTTGTTTTGTTTACATGGTTTCTCGTTCAAATAATGTAGGTAATAAGGTTTTAAAACATCATAGATTCTGCTAGGGACGACTATTCTTTCGGAGTAGATACATTACCTCGAACAGCCTTGTAGAAGATCCTGGAGGGGGCACGGAAGTGGAAAGGACCACGAGCCGGGTTGACGTTGCAACGCTTGCGCAGATAGGCCAAGAACTTAATCTTGTTTCTGTAGAAGTGACCGGAAAGGTTCAGCTCCTCGCAGCGCACCACAGCGACCTTGCCGCCCTGCAACAGGTACTTGGCGACCACGGAGGCCAGACGGCCCAGCAAATGGCCGCGACCATCAATAACAACGGTCTGCAAAAAAGAGTCATTTATTAAAAAACAGAATCCAGTTTGTGAGGTTATGTTGGCGGGAAGCGCATAAACAAATGCATGCAAAACGTTTTTTCGTCCAAATTCCTTGTATTGACGAGTATTCATTACATTTCACTCCTAACAAGCATGCTATGTAGGCGGCCCCCACACATTTTCACTAATGGCGCTGCTGTGGGCGCCTATGCACGTGTACCACAAGCAACTAACACTCAAAACAATAGGTTTTTCTGCTTTTGTTGCACATTTGAGCGCCCACACGCATAGGCCACTTAGTCCATTACACTTTGCATACATTTATTCGAGGCGCCGCACACTATTTCATCCATTTTTCGGCACTTACCCTGTTCGTTAAACCAGTCATTTTTAAGGAACCCGACGAAAAGAAGGCGGAAGTCGCGTTGACAGTTGGCAGTTGAGCACGCAGGGTTGCTTGGGATTCTTTGGCACTAGTTCAAACATTTATCGATGTTGTGCATCACTATTCTTGGTTCGTTATTGAACACTACTCCAAACCGGTCCCAAGAGAACAAAGATATTGCGTTATTTAGAGCGCTTCATTGATCTTTACAATCTTATATAAATAGTTAAAGATATACTCATCATTTACCATCCAAATATTCAATTTTTTACTTCTCTAGTGTTCTTTATGCCCCAAAGACGGATAACATAAACCAACCGGTTAAGTTGGCGATGATATCGGATAGGAAGCAGCAAGGGATGTGGCGGTTTAAAGCTAAATGTGGCGGAAAATCGCTAAGATCGCAACACTGAAAGACAATTGGAAAAAAAACTTCGGACTGCATCGACGTTGTTGCGGTGTTTACTGTCGGAAAAAGCGTAAACAAGTGCAGACCAAATGAAATTTTATTAATAAAATTACCGCAACTCGTATGAGGACTAAAAAGGACACGTCCGAGTGCTATCGACAATAAAAAGTGCTTAAAGAGACTGAGCCAAAGTTCTGAAAATCAAACGTTCTTGAAAGTGAGTGATTTTCCATAAATAAACCGATTTAATAAACACCGGAAAGTTCAAAGCAATCAAGTTTTCCGCACGTGATTAATCTGCTGGAAAAGCCATCACATAAAAGGCAAGTTTCCAGTCTAGAATTAGATTGTGCTACCGTGCTGGGTTCTCTTTTTAAATGAAGTGAGGTATTAAATTTTATAAGATAGTTCAAGTTTTTCCCCTCCTTTCCTTTTTCGCTAATTTTGAAATTGGGTCAATGTATGCGATGCCGACCGATTGGCTTGGTTTTTCAGCCATATACGTTGTTATAGTATGTTTGTTCATGTGTATGTTTATATATATATATATTTTTGGCTGCTGCCGCCGAACCAGTTGGTTGACCTTGTTTTTCGACTCTCCAAGTGCAATTGGGGCTTGACTTTTTGACAATATGTACATATGTATGTATGTGTGTAGCACTTTTCTCCGCTATAGAACGGGACTTGGTGGGATCTGGTGGTTGGGGGAATTATGATCACAGCACATTCTAGCGCTGATTTGTGTGGATATTGTTCTCTTTATCACAACCTAGCAACACAGAACTCTCCCACACTCATCACTCCTTCTTGGGGGACATTTCCGTTTTCCAGCAACAAAGGCCAGTCTCGGTTGACAGCTACGTGACTATGGATATGAAGTAGCTGGGAGGGGGTTGGGGGGGTGTAGGAAATGAGGACTTGGGGGTGGCTACCGGTTATTTTTTGTATTGATTAATTCAACTGTTTTTAATTCCGTTCAGGGGTAAACAATAAACAGCTGTTTTCGGGCTAAAGAACGTATAGTGTTGCAAAACGCCACGCCTACAGCCTGAAGATCCAAGGCACATTTTTTAGTTCCCAAATAAATAAATAAATAAAAGTTCGTATGAATAAAGTGCAATCTATAGTACAAACATTGTATTAATCGCAAGGTATATTTAAAGTCAGTAAATATTTACCTGTGGCCCCTTCTTGATTTCATCGCAATCCCTTGCAGATGTCCGACTTTTATGAGCTGCTTAATGTCGCAGCCAATGCCAGTTTTGAGGAGATCAAGTGCAACTACAAACAACTGATACTACAATGTCATCCCGACAAATTACACCAGCTAGATGACCCAAATCTGACTGGCGAGAGCACCCAGAACGGGGACTTTAATGCGATAAACGTTGCGTGGAATACGCTCAAAGATCCCATTAAGCGTAAACACTACGATGCCGAATTACTACAGTTGAAATTTCAGACCCACAGTAATATTTACGCTCATGTTCAGCTCGAAGAAATGCAACGGATCCAAGTGGAAATCGAAGACGAAGACGATGGCGATCCAGAACTGAAATCAACAGACAAAGGCCAGCCGGCGACAATGTGGAGCTATGCGTACGATTGTCGATGCGGCGGTCAGTATCTGTACGAGGGACCCGGACCCAAAGACACTGATGAGTCACCAGCCACCTCCACCTCTCCAGCACAAAGCAGCAGCAGCGAAGTGATTGTGGAGTGCAACGAGTGTTCTTTAGTGATTATTGTGAAACAGACAGGAATGGAAAAATAAAGACTGGGACTTTTCTATCAGAAGCCGAAGTTTTTACATTGTTCGTGCCAATCTATACAAGCTATTTTTATTTTTAAACAATTGTTTTAATTTTCGGTAGAACCAGAGTTTATATGAAATGAAATTGCTGTGGCATTTCGTTCAGCACAATGCCTGTGATTTAAGCTTTTCAATTAAGAGACTCTTTAAATTTTTACAGACCGTTTATTGGTTTCTTGAACCCCTCGGCTGAATGGGTCTTTTCTTATGCAAAGCATGTTGTCATCGTCATCGTTGCTGTTGTCGTTGTTGTCGTGCACTCGGCCAGCCCAGCCCCTTCTTTGTCGCCCGGTTGTGCCCAAAAATGATGTAACAAGTTGATGGTACATCATTTCGTTTGGGTATTCCTCTATCCATCCCCTCGTCCCCATTTCTCCACTCCCTACTGGGGTATTCATTTTGCATACATTTTATTTCATTTCCGCTGAGCGAAAAGACATTACCACAGACTTGATGTCTTTGGCGCGTGTGAATTGTCGGAGTTTGGCAAATTACGAGCAGTTTGGTGTTTATTTGGGGGAGTTTTTTGGGTCAAGTCTGTGTCCGGGGCCTAATGGATTGTCTAATCCATGGTTATGAAATCTCATCGGACGAAAATACTTCATTTTGGGTGTTATTATCTATAGTTTTTTAATAGTAAGTTTAATTAGATGTCATTTTTGTGGTTTTTGTGGAATAATATTTCATATCCTGTTAAGTCATCTATACATATTTAATGAGCCAACAAAATTCCCATTAAAATTATAATGCTGACTGTATAAAATATAGCTTACATAAAACTTCTGGTTAAAAATATTTCGAATATAAAAAAACTGATGTGCTTTTTTTAAGACTATTTGGCAATATTTGGAATAATTGCTCCAAAATCATGTCTATAAAAAAGATATCCGCCCGTCTAGTTCTTCAATACTTTCCAAATTCCATTTATGTATCTTTGAAATTGAAATTTCATATTTGAAAGAGTCGTCTATTGCCGTTAAGATACAAAAAACGGCGGCGGTATTTTTAAGCGCCTTAAATGTAATTATAATTACTCGAGTTCGCCCATTTTTTGTGTCGCTTTTTTTTGTTCAAATTCAATAACCCCGATGATGATGTCAGCAACTGCTGCAAAAAAACTCAGAAAGCAGAAAATGTTTATAAATGACTTTGAGAGAGTGAGTTTAAGCAAAAAAATTGGAATCCATTTGCTTAGGATGATTGCAAAGTAATTTACGGTCGATACGGCAAATTACGCATACGCCAGGCTGTTTAAATATTTTATTTTTATCAATCTCCCCAGTCCCCGACCTCCCCCCTTTATCTCGTTTCAGTGGCCGGATAAGTACGTCACTCGATTGATAATTAACGGTTGTCTAGCTTTCGTTTTCTAACCAAACACCGTCTCATACACTCTATAGTTTGTATCTGATGGTTTGTATCTGATGGTTTGTTTATATGTTTGTTTGTATCTTTGTGCATAAATGCTATTTACATAAAACGCTAGACAGGCTTGATAAACACTTGATTTCCAGCCCCAGTTCAAGTTGAATGAGAAAACAAAAGCCAGAGGAAAATGTGCGTACCTTTCTTGCAACATTTACACTGCAAGAAATATGAAGGCTACTTTACTTTAAAAAAGTTTCTTAGTTTTTATGAAAATTATAGTTTTTTTGAAGCTTTTTTAAGTGTATAATTTTCGCTGCCTGGGTCTTTTCATATCTCTTGGGCATCTCTCACTTTAATAACCTTTTGACACAGAAAATTGAAACGCTTTAGCGCATTCGGTGGCTCATTTTCCCATTCCCTCCGTCTGTCAATTGCTCCAACTTGGCCGACAGCTATTATGTTATGTTGTTGTTGCTGTTGGCTGTTGTGTGACACGCGTCCTAGCGCGATTTAAGATAACGTTAACGTACGCTCTCAGAAAGTGCAGATATATGTATATACATACAAGCCGGCCGCTCCAGCTCCATCTCCAGCTCCAACTCCAACTCTGCCCTGCCGGTTGGCACTTTCATTTTGTTTTCACTGCGCATTAAAGACGCTTGAGCAGCTTTAATTGCCCAACCAAGAGGGAGACACAAGACCAGAAGACCAGAAGACAGAAGACTGCGCAACACGCGTAGAAAGCTCAAGAAGATTCCCCCTCCGGAGCCACAACGCGCGGAAATTGCGCGGAAAATGTTTGTCATAGCCAGGCATAATGATGGCAGTGATCTAATGAAATCCGACTTTAAAGTGGAATTCCGTTAAGGAAAGGGATAAAAATAGTGGAGAATTCTAGGTCAACATGAGTCTTCAGAGACAACTAGTCTTCTGACATCCAAAGCTTTACAAGAACTGTATCTATAAGAAAACCCTAAAGTTTCTGCAATGTAATCTATCTTTCAGATATTTGTTTTTTAAAATCAAGACCTATTCTTTTAATTTTCTTCAAGCAAGAGATTATATTATATAATTCTCTGATTTTACGGCATTTATTCAGATGAGCTTGAAGATACAATGGGGCTTCAATTTCGAGAAAAAGAGTTACCGATTCGCCAGAACTAGTTGTGCCAGCTTACCACGAAGATCGTGAGTGATAGCTTGGAAGACGGGTTCGGGTTGTTTCTTTTTTTCCGGGCTCTTTCGTTTCTTTTGTGTCTTTCTCTCAATCTTAATTACACAAAAGTGCCAATTAATTGTTGATTTTTGTAAAGCTTTTTTTTCTTTCGCAACTTGTCGGCTTCCCAGGCAACACCTCGGGCCATGTTATTCTGCGGTTCTGTGGATAGCTTGCTCAAGGTGCCCGCATCTGTGGCATTATTTGTAGTATCTGTATCTGCGAATGTGTAGCCGAGTGAAAAGCAAGGTAACAAGTGGGGCAGCAACTAGAGCAGACAAACAGCATGCAGATACCACCTCCTCCCACACAAGTTTGAGATACAAGCGAGTAGAATAAATAGCGCATCTCTGTACGTCACTGACTTTCTGGAGCAGACCAAGTACGTCAGAGGTTCCTCTGACTAGTATGTAGTTTTAGTAACCAACTAAGACCTTTAATAATAATCGAATTTAATATTACCCTTTTAGGTATCGAAGGTGCGTATTCCACGCTCCACCACTTCGTCATCCTGGCCGGGAGTAGCTGCCTCACAATTGATCGAAACAGCCAGGAACAGCAGCTACAGCCATACCAGAAGACTGAAACACCGCTTCCGTCCAGCCGGCCCAGCAAGGTAGTCGAGGGGAAGATGGCCAGCAACGGGGAGATCTGGCTGCAGTGGTTCTCGTGCTGTTTCCAGCAGCAGCGCTCTCCCTCCCGCCGCCCACACCAACGCCTGCGCATCGACCGGTCCATGATCGGCAATCCCACGAACTTTGTCCACACGGGCCATATTGGATCCGCGGACGTGGAGCTGTCGGCGAACCGCCTCAACGCGATCTCAACCCAGATGCAGGGCAAGGGCGGCTACGAGGCAAACTCGATACATTCGCTTCATGTGAGTAGACATTGTGTTTCCTCAAGTGTCTTAATCACCAAAGAGTCCCAAACATGTTGTTCTTTCAGCTTTTATCAAAACTAGAATATTCAAATTCCTAAAAGTATTAAAAAAGATGATAAAATTGGGACTTGAGTTTGAAGTTCAAGAATGTGTACTGTATGGAATCTTTGGGGTTCTTGATCTGTTGAGTCATGTGTTTTGTTTGGCTTCTTGTTTGGCGGCTTTCTTAACGTGCGAATCACGTCTTCGTGATTCGATTGTTGCAATCCAAGAGCCTTTTGGACATTTAGCACCTACCTAGATAATGGATCTTGAGTGGCAGAGATCAGGGTTGGGGCTAAACTACAAGAAGTCAATGTGAAAGTACAGTTCAGCGAGTGGCTTAAAGACTTTAGCTTGAAGAAGTATCATATTACATATATTCCAGATTTTTCAATAAATTATAAACAAGGCACAGCTTAACCCAAATCCCAGAGCTTATTTCCCATCAAATGTCATAAAACACACCCATTTCGGGGCCAAATTCAATTAATATATCTCGCCTCCCCCGCAAAACCGAGAGTCGGTCGGTCGGTCGGTGTGCATGCCAAACAATCGTTTACTTGGACCCCGCTGCCTGATAACGTGCCCCGCCCTCGATGATCCGATCCCTCCTGCTCTCCGCCCCTGTCGCCGATAGACTTAGTAGTTAATTGAGACAACGGAGCTGAAGAGCGGTGTACTGGCCACGGTCTAGTACGTCGCTTAAACGGTTGACAAGCAATCCTCGACTCATGTTTCTTTTTTTTTCATTTGCAGGCCTGCTGATGGAAGACTACCCCAGCCACCTCGCAATACCAGCTATAAAATGCATTTCGTGCAAAAAAAAAAGTGGAGTGAAGCAGCAGAAGCAGAGAAACACATTCTTTGTGGCGTGTTATCAGGAAAATGGAGGAAGGTGCTGACAGTGTCCGGACAACCCGGAGCACGGACCCCGGACTACGAACCACGGAGAGAACAAAGTCAGAAAGCAATTTTAATAAATAGGTTCCAGAATGCGCACAGACTAACCGACAACGGATTTCATTCCCGCTAAGATCGATGGAACCCTTAACCCTCAGCCGCCAACTGCCAAGGTGTTGTTTGCGAGTATTAGCTATATGAAAAATCGCAAAATAACAGTGCCAAGCGACTAAAATCAATCAATATGGAAGCACAATACAATAACGAAAGTATACAGAGTCATTTTTTTGGATGTACTTAATGCCAAAAATCAGGATGGAACTATATATTTGCCGGTTCTAGTTCCTACCCAATAAAAAAAATACGAAAAACGAAAAACATTTCCATAATCGCATTTTGGAGTGCATACAACAATAACATGATGTATAGTATGTGCCCATGAAAACTGCCTTATAATCAGTTGCGCAACCAACAACAATTATAGTCTGATCCATGATATTTGGCTTAAGTGGTGCAACTACCGAATCTTTTTTTAAATGTAGCTGATCTAGCATTTACACAACGTTATGGACTAAATACGGAAAGTGTCGCACAATCATATTTAACGCACAAATCACTATATTTAGTATATCTTCCCAACTCGAATAATTGAATAATTGTTAGCCTCATAGCAGGACTAGATCCCGAGCAGACTGGATTATTTGGTTTTTAGGCAGGACGACAATGCAAGTATAAGCCCAAGCGTACCTTTGTAGTATCCCACATCAAAAATCGAAAGTATATATATTTGTAAAATCAAATGCTGTTGTAGATAACAGAGGAAAGAGTTTAACAAATGCGTTGGGTTTTAAGCATATAGACTAATTGTATAAACAAAATATTTAAGCAATAATTTATGGAAAAATATATATATATTTAAAAGCAACAACCCGTGAATATTTCGTGTTTTATTATGGCGAACATCGGCGGGCACTCTGGACTTTATCTTTCTCCGGCGCGGTTCAACGGGCAGCTAATTGCACATTTCGGGTGCTCCTGTTGGCCGCTTAAATCGACCACGATAAAGTGGGCCATTTGCGGGGGGATTTTATGGCCAATAAACTATGCATCTTTGGATATTGACCCTCAGGAGCTCTGGACACAACCGAGCCTCCAACTATGTTGAGGTACGCCTGCCGGAAATGTCCATAAATGCCGAAGAGAGACTGTGATATCTTTGCCAGTAGTCATCCGATTCTTGAGCGGAATATTTTAAAAGATTTGTAGATCGATTCTCCACAAATCTGCATCAAAATCTAGGAACAAAATTTTTTTCAGATTTTTTTTTAAATTTTCTGGGACATCCCCTTCAAAAATGGGGAAATTGCATGGAAGGACATTAGGGCCCACTGCGAAGGCCATATCTTTGGCAGTAGTCATCCGATTCTTAAGCGGAATGTTTTAAAAGATTTGTAGATCGATTCTCCACAAATCTGCATCAAAATCTAGGAACAAAATTTTTTTCAGATTTTTTGTCAAATTTTCTGGGACATCCCCTTCAAAAATGGGGAAATTGCATGGAAGGACTCCACGGCCCACTGCGAAGGCCATATCTTTGGCAGTAGTCATCCGATTCTTAAGCGGAATGTTTTAAAAGATTTGTAGATCGATTCTCCACAAATCTGCATCAAAATCTAGGAACAAAATATTTTTCAGATTTTTTTTTAAATTTTCTGGGACATCCCCTTCAAAAATGGGGAAATTGCATGGAAGGACATTAGGGCCCACTGCGAAGGCCATATCTTTGGCAGTAGTCATCCGATTCTTAAGCGGAATGTTTTAAAAGATTTGTAGATCGATTCTCCACAAATCTGCATCAAAATCTAGGAACATTATATTTTTCAGATTTTTTTTTAAATTTTCTGGGACATCCCCTTCAAAAATGGGGAAATTGCATGGAAGGACATTAGGGCCCACTGCGAAGGCCATATCTTTGGCAGTAGTCATCCGATTCTTAAGCGGAATGTTTTAAAAGATTTGTAGATCGATTCTCCACAAATCTGCATTAAAATATAGGAAAAAAATATTTTTCAGATTTTTTGTCAAATTTTCTGGGACATCCCCTTCAAAAATGGGGAAATTGCATGGAAGGACTCCACGGCCCACTGCGAAGGCCATATCTTTGGCAGTAGTCATCCGATTCTTAAGCGGAATGTTTTAAAAGATTTGTAGATCGATTCTCCACAAATCTGCATCAAAATCTAGGAACAAAATATTTTTCAGATTTTTTTTTAAATTTTCTGGGACATCCCCTTCAAAAATGGGGAAATTGCATGGAAGGACATTAGGGCCCACTGCGAAGGCCATATCTTTGGCAGTAGTCATCCGATTCTTAAGCGGAATGTTTTAAAAGATTTGTAGATCGATTCTCCACAAATCTGCATCAAAATCTAGGAACATAATATTTTTCATATTTTTTGTCAAATTTTCTGGGACATCCCCTTCAAAAATGGGGAAATTGCATGGAAGGACATTAGGGCCCACTGCGAAGGCCATATCTTTGGCAGTAGTCATCCGATTCTTGAGCGGAATGTTTTAAAAGATTTGTAGATCGATTCTCCACAAATCTGCACTAAAATCCAGGAACAAAATATTTATCAGATTTTTTGTCAAATTTTCTGGGACATCCCCTTTAACAATGGGGAAAATGCAAGGAAGGCCTCTATAGCCCACTGCGCAGGCCATAACTTGGCTAATACTCATCCGATTCTTGAGGGGCATACCTTAAACAAATTGTGGAGTGATTCTGCATCAATTTACAAAAAATGAGCCATAAATGAATTTGAAATCTTATTTTATTGGGCGATGTAATGAAATAGTTAAAACAATACATGGATCCTAATCGTCATTGTCACTTCCTGACCCGCTGCCGGAACCACTTCCACTGCCACTACCGCTTCCACTGCCACTGCCAGATTTGCTGCTGGCGCTTTTGCGGCTTCCTTCGCGATCACTACCACTGGCAGCTCCTCCGCCGCTCTTGCCACTCTTTCCGCTCTTGACACTTCCAACATCTGATTCGCTGTCGGAATCGCGAAGAGCCTTGCTGGCCTTTGCCTTGTCCCTCACCTTTTTGCTTCGACGTCCTTCGAAGTCAGAGCCCTCGTCTTCATCAGACGAATAAATTGTGGATGCCTTCACCTCCGCTTGCGGTCCACCCGCGTTTTTCTTGTACCGGTTCTTAATGGCACTCAAACTAATAGCATTCTCATCGTCGCTACCATCATCGTGCTGATATGAGGAGGTTCCGCCACCAATAAGCGGTTCACTAGCTCCTGCCTTTTTCTTTTTAGGTGCAGCCTTGTGCTGATTCCGCATAGCTTGACGAAGCTTAGCCTCCTCCTCTTTCAACTGGCTGTATCGATCCGTGGTCGGATCCTTGCCCACCTGCGTAAGGATCTTAATACCGCTGGTCTTGCTGGAACGATCCGCCAGCGACATGGTCATCTTCTTGTGAGTGAACGACTCCGTGGAGTGCGGACGGAATGTCAGCTTAGTCCTGAAAACAGACTGGCCCTGCAGACCAGTACCCTGGCGAATAAACAAATGATTGTGGTCACCCAGCAATGGCTGTCTGTAAGCATCGAATATCTCGTTTCCCAGATGAAGAGACATGCTGCCATCCGACCATCGAACGAATCTTGCATTGGACTCGCGCACCATCTCGCCCTTGTTGTTCATAAACTCTCGCCATCGAATCGTGTTGCTCACTTTGAGCTTAATGCGCTGTCTACCCTCCTCGTCCATGGTTTCCTCTTCGTCGATTTCATCCTCATAGGTCTCGGGATCGAAGGGATGCGTGACCACAGACAAGAAATTCGGTAGTTTGATGAAGTGTTGCTCTTTACCAAGGTCGGCTGAAATTCGCGGTATCTCTACATCGATTCTGGTTTCAGGCAGAGGTTCGGGCTCGTCTTCCTTCGGTGGGGGCTCTGTCTGGACTTCAGCTCTGTCCCGAGAACGGGATCTGGACCTTGAACGGGAGCGACTCATTGAACGACTACGCGATCGGGACCTGCTGAGGCTGCGACTCTTTGAACGCGCTGGGGATTTACTGGCCGCCGCTTGGGCTTCTTCTTCATCGTCACTGATATCATCAGCATCGCCAAAAATATCTGCAGCTGCGGGCGCAGCCTTCTTCTTCTGAAAAATTTTAGGAAATGACTACAAAGTTTTGTTAAAAATTAGTAGTCTCACCTCATCGACCTCACTCTCACTGTCCGAATCGATTAATCGCGACTTCTTCGCTTTGGTTGGAGACTCCTCCATGTCGCTATCACTTCCACTCTTCCGTTTTTCTTGGTCGGAACCACCTGAGCGTTGCACCTTCTTTTTAGGAACACCTATATCACTACCAGAACCAGAACCACTTTGACTCCGGCTGCGACTACGGTTCGATGTTGGCGACCCAGTCTTCGAGCGAGACCTCGAGGCACGACTTCCACTTTTATGACTACCGCTCCTGTGGCTGCCGCTTCTGTGGCTCCCACCCTTGCGGCTGCCACTTCTGCTCCTACTGCGACTCCTGCTCTTGCTCTTTGAGTTGGCACGTTCATCGTCAATCTGAAGGTTGGGTGAATTTGAACGGGATTCTTCTTTACCACTGCGACTGCGAGATCGGGAACGAGACTTGGCGCTTTGAGCCGAGCCGGATCTGTGGCTTTGGGGAGATCCAGATTTCTGGCTATGTTGAGATCCAGATCTGCGGCTATGGGGCGTTCCCGATCTACGACTCTGATGCGAGCCCGAACGTTTGCTGTGAGCAGATCCTGACCTTGCACTGCGTGGCGAACCAGATCCCGAGCGAGATCTTGACGACCGGGAACCAGAACGTGAGCGATCGCTTCCGCTACCAGACTTTTGGCTAGTAGGGGATCTAAGACAGGCAATATAAAATGTTAAGTTGTAAACTGATTGGCATCCAGTTATAAGCTCACCCGGGTGCACTCCCTCCTTGCGGTGTGCCACTGCGGCTGCGGCTCCCACTGCGACTTGATCCGGATGAACCTGGAAGCCAGCATAATTGAAATATTACAGATCCATGGACAAAGGAATTAACTCACCACTTTCGTCGTCTGATGTTGGATCACCCATTTTTTAAAACGATATGGAAAAATTGCAAATAGAAAAACCGGGTAATAAAATTGAGTTTGGGAGGTACAAGTACGTTCAGACAATTCGATTAATATCAAGAGACGGAGAGCTGCGATTTTTGTATCGCTTCTAGCGCTGCCAGCAATCGATATATTGTAAACAACTATTTTAACCTGCAATACACCAATTCAACACATATATGATAGCGAAAAAACTTAAAATTAGAAATAAATGTATATGAAAAAAGCATAGAATAATTTAGAAACCAAAGGAATGGACAAAGTTCAGTTGTTGGACTATCGATAACATTACTGCATCGATAAGCCCATTTTACATCCCTAGGTCTTGTGTGTTTGTATTCGTGACAGCCTCAAAGTTTTTTGCGGAACATTTTTTGTGTACAATTTAAAGCCATTTCGGGCGCTAAATAATTGTCTATTGCCTTGCGATAGAGCAACGTAAACGGCCGGCTTTACCATACCCGAATGCATTTGCGAGTGGGAAGCGTAAAAGACGCGTTAATCGGTCAGCGAATTTTGCCCAATTCGCTAGTTCGGGTGAAATTTCAATGAACTGAGAAAACAAAGACAGAGACACACATAGACACGCACACACAGACATAGTGCTTGTGCAGCAGTGGAGAAATAAGAAGAAGCAGACAACAGCGCAATAGCGAGCAATTATTTACTTACAAATAAAATACAAAAGGAAAACCCAACGGAAAAACAATATTCATTGGCGCTTTGGACAGTGTTTGACATTTGCATAAGTGTGGCATTGATAGTGGAAGTGAAAAACGCGGCGCAGAAAACTTTTCGCCTCCGCCAGGCATCAACATCCTTCGGAACTCCCTCTCTCTTTAGTTCGCCGTCTCACTCACGTTCTCCCAAAGAGCACGCTGCATACAGACGAGGCATATACTTATATATATACCTATATCATTTATTTAGGAACGATACGGCGCGGAAAAGTACTAACCTCCGTTCCCGCTACCGTTCCCGTAAACGTTCCCGCTCCCCACTTTCCAGTGAGTGAGTGCGAGCGAACGCGCAAATTGGAATAGCAGGACTCCATTGCCGCTACTCCTCCGCCTTGGAATGTTAAATGCGGTGAGAAAGATCCGATCAGTGTATGTTGTTGTTGCTGGAAATCGATTGGAAGCGAGTGGAAAAGGAAGAGCGTCAACCGTGGAAGTGGCAGTGCAAGAAGCGGCAGTATCATCTAACGTTAATTTAGGTAAATAAATAGTGTAAGCAAGCTTTTTCATGTGTCCAAGGTTGTATTGTTATAAAGTTTCCGTTCGCCAGTTGTGGTCTCTATGGGTTTTTGTTGTAAATGGCTAGCCAGTGTTGGAAAGCGTCCATCGGGTCAGCTGATAAAGTTACATGCGCAGGCCAGGTAAACCAGCAGCAACCATAAGATTGGCCGACCAAATCCTAGTTTAAATTAAGCAATTCCGTATATGGTAACTGGTTTTCAGAGGACATAATGTTTGAGGTAATTTTGGTTTTGAAGGAAGGGATTGGAATTGGCCCTTAATACCCTTTCCACGGTTCCAGAAAAATACATAAAACTGTTATTCTGTGGAGCCAATGGAGTTTCCATTGCTGAATAGGGATATGTCGCGAAATCTTAAATTCCTAAATAATCCAATACAATAAACAAGATTATAGCGCAAACTCCAAACTCAAATATTTTGTCTTACCAAGCAATATTTACTGTACTCCATTTTTTTGCACCTTGTCCTCTGAGCACAACTACCTGCATAATTGATCGTGAGGCAAGTGCAGCCGCATCTCGTGTCCTTTTACAGTTGCCCTCTCTCCCGTTCGCCCCTCTACCATCCTCATATCCTGCTGCCAGTCATTCTGGTTTCGCACCCACACCATCTTATCCGCAATATAAATTATGTATATATGTGTGTGTATGAGAGTAGCCCATACCAAAGAGGAACGAAAATAATTGCCGAAGCCTTTCTGTCTCTGCCTCTTGCTTTTGCTTGGTCTGGTCGGTCTCTTCGACGACCGTCTCCACTTCCACCTCCACCTTTACCTGCTCCTTCACCTCCACATCCCCACCTTCGTTTTCAGCATTGTTTGGTGCTGCCCGAATTCGCCAATCTACAGCTGATGCGGCGGCGGCGGTGGCCATTACATGGAATCAAACAGTACTACGGAACGAGTACGATATTTATTCTTTATCTGATGGCATTTGATTAAATTGCATTAAGAATTTATTTCAGATGCATTTAGGTCACTTACCTACATGTCAAGGCTATCTGCAGAATAAACCATGTCCCGCTGAAAAGAAAATATTTTAAAAATATTTTTCAATAAGACCTGAGCTCCTTAGACCTGAACCTGAACCCGATTTCTAAACAATGCCTATTGGAAGCTATTTATGCTTATTGCGACTTATTCAAGGAATACTAGATTACAGAAAACAAGACCCTTTGGGTTTATTTGTTTATTTGCCCAACACGCATATGGCGCTTTGGTGTGCGGGAAGTTGATTTGTTATCTCGATCGGTCTGCCCCCCACCATTAACTCACGTTGCACAGAAACTATAGTTTGCTGGTAAACATGTTGCCTGATTCAGATTACTTTTGAGCTTCCTCATCTATCTAATTTTAATTAATTAAGCCTCTTAATTAAAACGTATACTTTTACAGATTATGGCGAATTTAAATTTTCAACAACCCCCGAGAAGTATAACGAACGCAGCGTTAGCTGGAAGGACGACAGGAGGATTCGGTGGTAGCTCCCTGGCTGGCCATGTAACGCCCACGTCGGGCATGTTCCAAACCGGTAAGCATATTCATTTCCTGTAATTTCCCCTGGAGCTTCCTACTTATAATCGAGTGTCGTGTAGACTTTGCCAACTCGTATCCAGGAGCAGCGAATTACGGACAGGCGCCGCAGCAGCAGCAACAACAGCAGCAGCCGCCGCAGCTATCGCCTAACCGAAATGCGCAACTCTCCGTCGGAGGACCCGCCATCTCGAGCGGCAACCGCAACGCCAACCTCTTCGGTCAGCGGCAGTTTTTGGAGCGGCGTGCCATGCAGGGATTGGGCACTGGCCCCATGGTGAGAAGCATTCAAAGCCCAAGAGTCGCAACTTCTTCAAGCTATCTGCGAAATCTGATTCAAGAGGATCTTAAATTTCTGAAATGCTTAACTACCTATATAGAACTTGTCAAACACTTCCTTTCCTAGTACATACTTAAATATATATTTCAATATTACTTTTTTTTTAATTGACTCGCAGAAGCATTGGACAAGTTGCGATTGCACTTACCCAGCTTGTTGACACAGATCCTCTAAATATATCAATTTCTTTCCACAGTCGAACATGGGAAACTTCATGCAGACGGGTCGCGGCGGCTACGGAACGGGCGGCGGCGGTGGTGGTCCTTTGAATAACTTCCACGTGTTTGGCGGCGGTGGCGGAGGCGATGCCTCCACGCCGGCTCTGCTTGATCCCACGGAATTCCCCTCGCTAACGAACGCGCGCGGCCAGAACGACCAGACACTGCCCCAATCGAATCCGCTCCAGCCGCCGGGCAGCAAACCCTATGGTAATTTCTTTACCTCTTGTGAGTTCAAATCAAAAATCCACTTCTTTATTTATTTCTGTTTACGATTACGATATTGCCTAAAGAGTTGTGTGGTGTCTTGTGATTAATCTCTACGTATGGGCCCACATAGTTATGCTACGAAAGTCTTTGTCATTAATCTTGGCTAGTGGTGATGGTAGAATAAAGTGAGATCTCGAATAGAAATCCCAAAATGTATTGGAAATATTGTTTAATCTTTCGAGTACTTACTGCCTTATAGATTTATGCGTTTCCTCCAAAATTATGCGTATTCCATTCCTTTCCTATTCTCATTACTGTGGCGGTCTTCCTTCCATTTTAGTTGGCATGGTGAAACAGCCGACGTCAGAACAATCGGAGTTCACGATGTCCAACGAGGACTTCCCTGCGTTACCGGGCACCCAGAACTCGGACGGCACAACGAACGCGGTGGGGAGTAGTGGTTCAGCGGGAAGCGCCGGCAGTGGAGCAGTCGGATCCAGCGGTTCAGGAACCAACACAGAAAATCACCTGGACGGCACGGAAAAAGCGATGAATTCAATTGTGGTCAGCGGATCGGCGAGCGGTAGCGGTAGCGGCACCAGTGTCGGCGTTGTAGGCGGCAATGGTCTGGGCGCCGTTGGCAGTGGCCTTGGCGGCCTTGTGGTCGTAGGCAGTGGCAGTGGAGCGGGTAGCGGTTCAAGTGGCGGCAGCGCAGCCAGTGGTGTCGCCAGTGGATCGCATGTTGGATCCAGCGTTGCCATCAACAGTGTTCCCAACAGCAACGCGATGATGGGCGTGGGCGGCGGCCTTGGCAGCGGAAGTGGGGGATCCTCCGGCGGCGGTGCGGTCGAGCATCTGAACGATAATTCCAGCAACGATAAACTTGTGAAGAGCGGCGTGCAAACTTCGCCAGATGGTGAGTCTACCGATAAGGTTTTTTTGCCAATGACGCATTAAAAAAGCCGAAATTCCCAAGGGTTTCCGGTTAAAATAACTAACATTAGAATATAATAGTTATGATTGTTAAAGATTTGAACGATTTCTTGTATATTCTACAGGCAAGGTCACAAACATCCCAGCGACCATGGTGAACAACCAGTTCGGCATGGTGGGCCTGCTGACGTTCATCCGGGCTGCCGAAACGGATCCCAACCTGGTGACACTCTCTCTGGGCACGGATCTCACGGGACTGGGCCTTAATCTGAACTCGCAAGAGAGCTTGCATACAACATTCGCTGGACCGTTCGTGGAACAGCCCTGCAGGTAAGGACTCCTAAACCTTAAGATAAGTTAGTTAGTTGCTTTCTCAGATAATTAGCTCATTTATTATATATTTGTGAATATAAATAGGAGTGGATAGATAAGACAATTATCGCTTTAAATGCGTAAATATTGTATCAGTGATAAGAAATTATCACCCCTTAATTATACTTAATTAAATTATCGCAGTTAAGATATTGACTTTTAAAAATATGTACCGATTTTGAAAGTATAGAGATATATCCTAATACTAATATGATAATTTTCTTGTTTATTTTTTTTTTAGAGCACAAGACGTTGAGTTTAACGTGCCACCCGAATATCTGATTAACTTTGCGATAAGAGACAAACTTACTGCGCCGGTACTGAAAAAACTGCAAGAGGATCTTCTCTTCTTCCTCTTCTATACAAACATCGGCGATATCATGCAGTTAATGGCAGCTGCTGAATTGTAAGTGCTTTCCCCATAAAATATATTGTATTACTTACTAAGAAGTCGTCTCGTCTCCAGGCATAGTCGCGAATGGCGGTATCATGTGGAAGAGAAAATATGGATAACTCGAATTCCTGGCATTAATCAATATGAAAAAAATGGTACAAAAGAGCGCGGCACTTTCTACTACTTTGATGCGCAAAGTTGGAAACGTTTGTCCAAGGTTTTCCAAATAGATGCCGAGAAATTAGATAAATGTCCCAATTTAAGTGCGTATGTGAATGGACAGTCTGTATAAAATTAATAAAAATGAAAAAAATTGAAAAAGAATATGCACAACTTTTTTTTTTCTTTTTGACACTTGGGTTGAAAAGTCATCCTTAAGTATGGATGTAGTTATTAAAAGGTTTTTTTCCCAACGGCATTATAAGCATACATTTTAGTATTGCCTACTTAAGAAAAAAATGCTTAAATGCTGGTCACTCTTAGTCCTTAACTTGTGATTTTTAAAAATAACAGTTTTTTAAATATTTTCTTGTATTTTTCAAAATATTTGGGTCATTCAAAAAATCTGTAATCACCTAACATTGTATTAACAGCAAAACATTCCTTGCGCCTAACAGCACTGTCGTCTCTGTTAACAGCAGACGCGTTAGGACGTTTAGCAATAGATGCACGAAGAAGAAGAAGCTTCAAAAATAGCGCCTGTGCCTCGGAGACGGATTTGAATTGATTAATCGAAATAAACGAATTTCTTGCGTCGCATTCCATCAGAGATGAATACGCCGGGCATGAGCCTTTTCCAGGGGGCGGACACCCTGAATGTGAACTCTACGTTGGATCGCCAGGAAGAGGAGGAGGCGTTGCAGGATCAGAAAAGACGCGAGGAAGAGGTAAGTGATTTTGGAAATAGGGCGGAAAATAAGTAGCAGCAAATCTTGGCGTAGCATGTCACCAGTTCCGTTTCTCACACAGTTGGGAAACCTGCTTGAAAATGCCTTCGATGATCTGGACGATGAGGAGAACACAATCGACTCTACTACGAATTTCCAGTCTGAATCGACTCCATCGGAACCCTTTCTACCCACACACCCGCCACATCCGTATCCGTTGCAGGAAAATCATCAGCATGCTGGGGAAATAAACCGCCTAAAAATGATTCTCCAATCCAAGACTAACGAATTGGAAAATGTTAATCAAATAGCCACCGCAGCTCACAAGCAACTGGACGAATGTCAAAAGAGGCTGACTATAACACAGGCAGAGCTGGAGAGGGCGTTGCGGGAGAAGCAAAATACTCACGAATTACTGGTAGAGACGAAGGAGCGGTGCTCCAATCAGGACAATGGTCTGGAGAAGCTGCGGGCGGAGAAGAAACTGCTCGAGGAGGAAAACACGCGTCTGGTGGGTCAGCTGGAGGTGACCAGGACGCTTCTTTCCGACATTCAATGCAAATATGACATGGTCCAAAAGGAGTTCCATAAAAAGGAGGAAAGAAGCGCCGAAATACGGGTCAAACATCTCGAAGATAATCACCGGGCGCAGTGCGACCTGCTTCAAAACCAACTTACACAAATGGCCAGTCAGTTGGACCGCAAGAAGAGCGAGCTGGAGCAGATGCAGTCCCGGTACAATGCTCTGCAGTCAGGGCATGAATCTATGCTTTTGGATAAAGCTGCCAAGATAAATGAGTTGAATCAAGCCTTAGATGTTGCCCAGGTGCGATGCAGACACTCAGAGGACCTGGAAGCTGACAACCAACGCCAGAAGCAATGTATCTCTGATCTGAATGCGCGCATTGCGAGCCTGGAGCAAACCATCAACTTGCTAAATGATCGGGTGAGCGAAACTACAGCTGAGCTGGACCTTATGGATAGCTTGTTGCAGCAACATCAGACAGACGAGTCTCCCCAAGCTCGGCTTAGTCAAGTGGGTGCCTCCCGGCTTGTGGGCAGCACGCCCCTAAATCCTCTAGACAGGGTCAGTCACATCAAACAGGAGCTATATCGGGCACTGGCGAATCTTAAGGGCAAAAGAGAGGAAGTACGGCGGCTGGAGAAACAGCTGGAAGAGCGTAATCACGAAATTCGGCATTTACACGAACAGGAGAATCAATCCTTAGTCCAACTGGCAACCCTCAAGGAAGACAAAACCCGACTAGAGAATCGTCTTAAATCTTTGCAGGAGGAAATGCAAGAGCTGAAATGCCATCCTCAGCTGGAAAATCAACTTTCTCTTTTGACGGAAGAACGGGATTCGCTAAAGGATCTTAATCGGAAAATTGAAGACCAACTTGTCAGCGCCGAGAAGCAATTGGCGGATCTCAAAGAGCAACATGAAAGCCTAGAAGAAAAACACGATGAACTTACGCAGGAAAACCGAAAGCTTAGAAACAGTACCACTGCAGATGACTTACGCCTTGAATTGGAAAGACACAAGATCCTGCTGAAGGATGCCCAAAGCGAAGTAGAACGACTCAAGAAGCTCTATGCAGACATTGCCACGGACAAGGAGTCTTTGGAATATGACCTTAAGAAACTAAGACAGTCGGACACGCTAATGGAGCTGCAGGAGCAAACCCAGCAGCTGGCGGCTGCCCAGCGAAATCTTAAGCTAGTGGAAATGAAATCTGAAGAGCTGAGCAAGATCTTGGAGGCGGAGAAGCTCAACCACGAACGGGAGCTGCAGGCTTTGCGCCAGAAACACGAGCGCCAGAAGCGAGAGGAGGCAGCTTCCAAGGAGAGCTCTGAAAGTTGTAGCAAGTGCATTGAGAACATGGCTGAAATTGCTAAGGTGAGAGGAATATATGGAATATATATATATATATATAGTTCACTATTTTAATGACACTATTTTATGATTTTTTGAAATTTATCTTATTTTTTAAACTTTATTTCAGGCGGAAATCCGGATATTAAAGCTTGAAAACGTTAATAGCGCGCAGATCAAGGAAATAAAAAACCTGGAGCTCGAACTCGAGGAGTCTAAGAGGATGCAAGCAGTTATGGCTGAGAAGATAGAGCTCTCAGTAAAGCAGGAGGAATTAATTGCTGAACTCAAGGAGAAGGCCAATCAGTTCCAGGCTTTTGTTAGTCAGCAGGCGGAAATGGAACTCCAAAAACTTCAGAAGAAAGCTTGTCCTAGTCCCAAGGAAGATTCTCCGCTTGGTGCATCGCCGAAAGACTTGTCCCAGGAGCGTATCAAGCGTATAGAGCAGCGGGTACGGGATGAGATGGCGAAACTGTTTGCCGCCGAGCTCAAAAAGTTCACGACACGGCTACAACTGACAGAAGAGAAGAACCAGTGCCTTCAGAGGGAATATCAGTCAGTTTATTCTGAGTTGCAGCAGCGTCAAACGGAAGTCGATCTTCTAAAGCAGACAATCCTGGCAGAGCGCGAGAAGATTGAAGAGATGCTGGCCGCCAAAGAGGAGAAGGAAAAGGCCATGCTCCACATGTGCCGTCAGGAGCTGCAGGCTAAAAATCATCGGATTGAGGAACTAACGCGAGAGTCCGATGAACATCAGGCGAGCATAGAATCGGAACGGAAGTCAATGAAAGTGGTTATGGCGCACTGGGAGAAGCAGCAGGAGTCCATTGAGCAGGTTGAGAAGAAGTGGCGGGAGCAGTTGGAAACCATGAGGGCTGCCCACGAAGAGGCTATGCGTGCCGCTCAGCATCGTTACCAAAGTGCCAAACGGACCGCCCAAAACTACAAGCTCTATGCCGAGGACAAAGAGGCGCACATGAAGCGCGAGTACGAGCGCATCAAGCGGGAATACGAAGCCTCGTTGTCGAAAATCGAAAGACAGGTAAACCAGCGCATCGTTCACAAAAGTCGCGATCGGCACCGCGACAAAGAGAACCAGCCCATCAATAGCAACACCGCCGTAACGACTACAAGCAACGGAAGTGGGAACACCAACAGTAAAGGAAGTTAGTATTAGTCGCCTCTTTTGTAAATCTTTATTGTTACACCCCACAATACATTCCCTCGAGGTGATGATTTATTTTTCATCATCCCTCGATAAGGTAAACTAGCACAAGTATTTTATTTAGTAAAAAGGTATTTTGATTAATTTCATTTTATTTAAGTTTTTATTATATTCTTGATAAATGATTTGGAATATTTTGGTTAAATAAAAGCATTAATTCTCTGATTTGTGATGGCTTTGGTTTAATTGCTGCCAGCATTTTTCAAAAATCGTAAGGAACTTGTCGATTTCCTCTCTCTTCACACCCAAGGACGCCGCCACCGTCAGATAAGGCACTACAAGGCTATCATGATGGGAACCGAAACCTAAAAGAAATGCTTTTAAATAAGCTACATTTAATTCTTTATTTTACCTACCAATAAACTCATAACCATCTATGACTTTTTTTTGGCCAGGAACCACAACCCTCGCACCAGAAACCCCACGCAATTGAAGCATGGAACCAAGTTGGGTTATATCCTTGCTGTCGTTGGAGTCTCTTAACAAGTTCTTTAAAGTGATGGCTATGGAAATTAAATTGCTGCGGGTTCCGATCACAGTTTCTCCTTGGCTCTCAGCAAATTTTCCCAGACGATCTTTGAGGTAGGCAAAGTTCTCTTCGCGCTGTGTGAAAAGCGATTGGTAACCTTTCCGACCCAGTGAAAGTAGAGTCATAAACACGTCCAGAGTCTGAGAACCGCTGGCTCTACCAGCATAGCTACTAGCTACATCATTAAGCAGTTTATCATCAAAACTGGCGACAATGGCGCCGCCGACAGGCACAAGGAGGTTTTTGTCACTGCTCTGGACGAAATAGTCAATGCGACCTAATCGATTGGCCTTCTCTAATCGTCGGAGGGTATCCGTTGATTGTAGTCCATACGCATTATTAATCAGGTGGGGAATGTCTGATTGCCTTGCCATTTTTCCGACTTCCACAATGTCATCGCTATTGCGGGGCGCAAAGCAACTTGTAGTCGTGTAAAGACAAAGAATATTATCAGCTCCCAGGTCTTGAATCTTATCGCGAAACATATTTATATCTGTGTAAAGCGCTTGATTCGGCACCTCACAAGGAATGATTACTGGTACTAGCCCAGCTGCAGTTATTGCTTTGAAGCAAGACTTCTGATCTATGCGCGACCAGAGGACGTACTTTGCTTTTGGTCTTCTTTTGCGTAAACTCTGCAGGCACAGAGTTATTGTCATGCCTGTGCACATCGGAACTAGGAAGCATCCTGAGCAACTGGGCAGACCGATGGAGCGCATAAGGTCCAGAATAAGCGCGTTTGTGAGTCGAGCCAGCAGTGTAGATCCAGCCGCTTTTGGTTGTGCCTCCAGCAGGTCTCCTGACCGTCCAATCCCATGACCAAAGTTATAGTGTCTTCGGGCCACAAGTCCTAAAAGATTTTACATTTTATATCCGAAGTTGCTGATCCTTTGCGATACTCACTGCAAGCAATGCGTGCCTCTCGCTCACCCAATCCTAGTTTGTGCGGGAAGTTGTTACTATCCAGAGACGACAGCTGGTGCACTAGCTCCTCTATGTCCTCATCCGACCATCCATTCTCCGGTAGCGCTCTCTACGTTGAAAATAAGCCCATATTGGGATCCTTTTATGGTTTTGAAATGTTTACCTTTTCCAGAAGCTCTTTAAATTGGCGCTGCTTGCTGCGTAATGCTGCAATTCCCAACTGCATGTAGTTACTTGGAACAAGTTTTTCAGGAATGTTTACGTCATTAAAGTTCATTTTGCGTAAAGATTATAATTTAAACGAAAAATATAAACAAATAATAAACAATAAGCCATTAGTGTGACCATTAATGGGCGCTAAAATTAATCAACAACAAACAAGAATAAAAAAGAACCACCAGGTTATTTGGCACTTATAGATAAAAACTTAATTGTTTATAAATTTCTATATTTTAAATATATTCTAATTTCAAAATAAACTGTTTAAATAATTTCACATAAATACAGCTCACTTAAATACCAAAAGTGTACAGTATTTTTTACTCTATCAGTCTGGCAACGCTAAATTTAAGCGAATGCCGCCGCGTAAGATCCAGCGTCTGTAGCTGGCGTCATGTTTTGATAAATACAAATAACTATACTAATTTCGGGACAAATTGTGTGGTGCTAGTGATATTATGTAAATTTATAAATATGTACGTATGAGTAAAAATAAAATAAAATATGTTACATGAGTTAGAGATTTTTTTATTTTGAATTATTCTATAGGTCGGCTACAGAGGCAAATGAACGTACATTGGAGCTGGAAGACTTCCTTAGCCAAAAAGACATTGATACCGATCGCTTGGCGGCCTTTTTGCAGCGTAAAGCTACTGAGAAGCCTCAAAGCAACCGTCTTTTTGGGAACTTTACCTTTGATGTAGACTTTGAAGTCCCTCTGATCAGGAATCCATCAAAAGATTCCGCGGCGGACCCTAACCCACCGGAAACTGCTTCCAATGAGAATGATCCCCCACCCCAGGCTAACAATGCATCCCCATCCCCTACTTCGGAAAAAGCTACAACTTCAAATCATATAGCGCCTGTTCAAAAGGTTCCTACTCCTCCACCTACTTCGCCTCCTCCCATTATTTCACCAACTCATCGACGTTCCGTAAGGCGCAGTGGAAATGTCCCTGGTTCGGACAAGCTACGCCGCCATGCTATCCGTCGGCGATCACAGAGTTGTGGGCGCCAACTACTAAAGGAGTTTGAGGAGTCGTGCAAAAGTCCGACTTCCTTTGTAAGTACTTGCTTACTTGGTTACTGATGGATTATTACTTATGTATTGCTTACTCAATAATTTTGTAGGTTCCTGGCACATGCAGTACTCCTCACTCAAGTCAACTATTGGCATCACAGCCGACAAGCCAGCCGATCGAGGAAAACGCAGCGCCTCCACCGGCTGAAAACGGGGTTACTTTTAATAAATCTCAACCGGACCAACCTAAAACCGTTGAAGCACAGCCAGAGGCCGAAAAAAGTCGTGGGAGTTTGCGTGTGCGCACTGATCTTGCCGCTGAAATTGCTGAACTCTGTGAGGAGCGTCTGAATTCTTTCAAAGAATCTATATTGCAGCTAGACAGCATTGGAAGACCACCTAAAAGTCGGCCAACAACACCAACGTCGCCGTCTGTGACGAGCAGACAACGTACCTATACCATCGAAAAAGGACCAGTTCCTGGACAACTGCTTCTGTCTCCTTCCCATCGCAGTGAATTGCCACTGAAGCAATTATCCGTAAATTTAAAGCGTATTGACTCTCAAACTCGCGTTGCTCGTACGCCATCGCGATCCAGCTTTCACGCTGGTGTGGAATCAGAGCCACAAGCTGAGATTGTTGGGTCTCAAAATAGTGTTCCTGATACTCCACCGCGATCTAGCTTCAACGCTGGTGTGCAATCGCAACCAGAACCTGAGTTTGTGGTGCCTGAAACTCAACCAAACAATACAATTCCACAAATAAGGGAAGATTTGGCCGCTGTTATGACCGAAGACGAAAGTGACGACGATGATAGCACAAAAGCTTTGAATCTAGCACCAAAAGGCGGCAATACCACCAGGAGAACTCATTTGAAGGAAAAGAATGCAATGCTAGCTAAAACAAAAGAAAACTCTGTCCAACTTCTTGACCTCCATCGGTCTGTGAAAAAATCCAAAAAGATAGAACCGGTCGGTGGGAAGCCTCGAATGACATCCGTGCCGTTGAACAAGCCTCCAAGTGTTCCTATAAATGGTGAGCAGTTTGCAGAGGAACTGGCACGTATGAGCAACTATGAGATCCTAGATCTGCGCAAGCGTAACTCAATGGGCAAGGTGTACCCAGTAAATGGACATAGTAACCAAAATACGGAACAACAAAAAATCTTGGAGAAAAATATAGAATGGGAGCTATTGCGACGAAATCTTCGCAACGATGCTGGCGCACTTCCTGGATCGTCATCCAGCGACTCGGCAGACAATGAAGAATCTTTGCCTGCCCGACGCGTAATGACCCGAAATCGAAAGCAGATAAAAGCCAAAAGATCAACTTCTCGGCGTAGGGATAAGCCAATGGTATGTAGTTTGGAATAGGTTTTGTAAGCACATACTAATTTTATTTTTCTATATAGTCGGGAGAGCTAATCAATTATATGAACCTCACTAAGGCAAGGGAGAGTCGCAGAAAATCATCGATAAGTACTTCAAAACGCACCTTATACACAAAAGGCGACTCCCAGTGTGAAGACTCCGACACATCGGCGTCTCCCAAAAAGCAACAGAGGTTAAGCCAAACAGTTGGAAATATTTCCATCGTTCCTCCACCGCCTGGTTATTTGCGCCACTCGCAATCCATTGTGGAACAACGGTCTGTGAGAAGTTCTTTGATCGAAAATGATGTGTATCCAGCGCCAAGGGACTTCGAAGACTCGTCAAGGCGCACAATTTTTTCACAACAGAATACTTTACGAATTGCTTCGCCTCCTCCGGAGTACGTTGATACTACTTCTCACAACATCTCGGTTGGGTCAAAAAGGACTAAAAGGGTTACGAATTCGCTACTTCAGGAGTTTGAAAAGGATTCGGGTCACAGAGATGTATGCGAGGAAACAGCGGAAGCAAATGTGACTGAAATTATGGAAGGTATTCCACCGCCTCCGGAGTACATTCCACCTCCTTCTGAGTACAATGAAACGAATGCTGATACCGAAAGGCCTACCCGCGATCGTTCAAAGTCAGCGAATAAGAGTAACGCTAACAATATGTCTAATACCAAAAGTAATCGTACAAAGATGAAGACTTCGAATTCACGAATATCTGTAGATCATGACATGGAGGAGCCAGTTTCCAGTAATTCAAATACTCATGTCAGTTCTTCAGTTGTGAGGGATGATTGTTTGAATGAACAATCTGACAATATGGAAGCTCTTCGAATGTGTACGCCAACACCTCCAAACGTTCAAGAGACGAGTTCTGCGCACAGTACAAATAGAGAACGACCACAGCCTTCGATTGAGCTTGACGATGGGCCCAGCACAAGCAATGCGGCACGGCAAGCACTTGAGAAAAGCACGGTGGCATCAAAAAAAAACGCTGAGAACGCAGCTTCTAATGATGATGTGTTTAAAAAACCACTTGCGCCGGCTCCAAAAGCCAAGTCAAGGCAAAAATGTAAAAACGAGGTCAAGAGATTGGCTTCCGAACTTCATGTAACTTTGCCACCAGTGGAGCACGATACAAGTGGTAAGTTTAATGGTAAACTTGAAAATGATGTATTTATTATGAATTACATTTCGCAGGTATTCGGCGTTCAGCTCGAGGGCACGTGCCACTCCAAAATAACTGGGTCCACAGTAATATAGACCTTAAGGCTCTAGGGTTCATGAAAAAGGCTTATGCTGTCTATGATAACGAATTAAAACCGAAAAAGAATAGGCCGAATAAGAAAACGGCCGTGGACAAGAAGCCTTCAAAAGCCCACCCAGTGTGTAGCAGCACGCCGAGAGATTCTGGAAAGTCGCTACCAGATTTCTTTAACTCTCTCGGGCTTGAGGAGTTGGAGCTAACAGAAGAAGGCACAGAAATAAATAAAATTCCTGAAGAAAAACCACCTGCAAAGGCTAAAAAGAGGGGGCGAAAAAAGAAGGAGCCAACGAAAGACATCCCCCAGACAGTAGAAACTCATAAGGATCCAGAGGAGGTAAATACCTGCGTTAGCGATGTTGACATTCCCTCTGAATCTGCAAAGGAAAAGGAACCGGTAACTCGGGATGTTACTGCCAGCAGTACGCAAACCTCAGCAAGCATAAATATGGATGAGCAAATGGAGGCTTCGATGAAGTGGACCAACTGGCTTCGTGGAGCAAGTGACTATGAACCCGGTAGTTCAAATGCATTCGGAGACACTGCAAGTGAGTTATATTTTTTTTATAAGTTTTATTATTTTATACTATTTCAAACATATAAATTACAGATCGAGCAAGCGATTTGGCGTTTACAGATATTGATGGAATCGATTATGCTTTTTACGATACAAAAGAGAAGGCCACAATAGGATATATGCGTTTCAAACCGTACCAGACTCGTAACAAAAAGCGAGCCAAGATGTGTGACATGGTAAGAAGACTATAACATAAAAATATATAAGTTTAACTGCATGTCTTGTATTTTTTTTAGAAATTGATAGTTCAGGTTGGCGAATTTGCAATCCAGATCGTATCGAAGGAATTTGGGGAAAAGCACAATATCCTACGCGTCGGGGACATGATTGAAGTAGATGGGGGTAAGATATCAAAAATTAAAGAAATAATGTGTGTTTTAATATAATCTTTTCCTTCCAGGTAGCCTATATAGTATTCAAAATACATTAAACGACATCAGTGTTCTTTTGGTTATAAGATGCCCTTTAACTTCATCTTAAATTTGTAATGATAGTTTTCGTATTGTATATGGTTATAAGATGGTCATCAACTTCTTGATGACATCTTGATGAACTTCTGTAATGATAGTTTTGCAATTCTTGAATAGTTACATATTGTATAACCATTTTGAATCACTGCAAGCGTAATTAAAGAAATGCAGTCATATTGTTTTTTGTTCTTTTGCAACTAAACATCTCGTGTCTTTCAATTGTCCATGGTGAAGTGAAATGTCATTGGTAGCACGCACATCTACCAAGGATGGGCTATTTTTCTATTTTCTGGGCAAACACCTACGCATTGTTGGCGTGCATTGGGGGTATGTGTGTTTATTCTCGTCTATCCCGTCTAAGCTGCTCAGAATTTCAAGTTCATTTAATTTCCATTTTCTTTGAATTTCACAAGTTGCGTTCTATGATAGATGTGAGTGCGTGAGCTGGGATATGGGTGTGGGTGGATGGGTGTGACATCGGAGACTTCAAAAGCGAAATGGCAAACAAGCGTAACAACAGAAACAACAAACAACAGCACCACCACGATGATGTTGCCAGCTCCATCAAGTCAACACAATTGTAGAACACCGCATGCAACTTTCGAACCATTTTGCACGTATTCTTTTGTGGAGAGACTTTCTTTTTTTTTTGGGAAAAGTACACAAGGCACACACTCGGCTGGAACACAAACATAAATTCAGAAAAAGGAAATTAAATCAACAGAAACTTTCTCGGCAGGTGCGCCTGCATAGTAACTGGTGTCTTGAAGCGGCATTTAAAATTAAGAAAACACAGCCTGACATACGTTACCCGGCGGTGTCAAGCCTTTGATCATCGCACTCGCCCTTTTGAACTTGAGGTCCTGTTAATGAAGCTACACTGTGAATTAAATCCTTCGAGGACTTCTGTTTTATAAAAAATTATAAACCAAAAAAATTACAGCTTATGGTTATTGTATTATGCATTTAACTTTTTATTAAATATTATTATTACTTCGGAATCATACTATTTTTTTGTACCATGTAGAGCTGATACTTCTGTGTGGGTGTTTTGAAAGCAGCAGCTGGACTCACCGCCCACCGTCAATTGCACTTCATGCATGCCAATCAGCAGGATACCTGTAGTGTTCCTTTTGTACATATTCGTCTCAAAGTTCTAGCGAGTGGGCGGCAATGGACTTACCTAGGTAGGTTCACCTGAAAGGAAAGGTGTTGCTGCCTGGTTAACAGGGAGTCCAACCAGTTGCTCCTTTTCACGTTCAATTTCAATTTGTTTGACGACAGCAGGCGACAATACCTCGGTAGGCATGCCAAAATAAAAAAAGACAATCAATCCTTGAGTAAATAAAAACAACTGAGGGCACTTTATTGTGATGTTTTACTTACGAGTAGTATACTTTTTATTTTTACTTAAAAAAAACATTATATTGTTGTTTATTCTCTTACAGAAGTTTAGGGTTTTAATAGTAATTTTGTAATCAGGGTCAGGGTAAATGGGATATATAGGATATTCTCGTACTATAGCCTTTGCATTTTTAAAAAACTAGATATTCCGTAGCAGATTACTTCAAAATACCTCTAATTGAATTGACCTTAAGAATGATTGATGTTTATTATATGTACATAGCCCTTCGGTGACAGGTCCTTTAAAAGGGCAAACAAAAAAATATTTGCTATATATTCTAATAGATTACATTTTATTACTTTATAAAGTAATAGAATCATACTTTATTCAGGTCAGACTTACCATAATAAAATCCAGAATCTACGGACCCCATTCATCTTGCTCTTGGCATTGTTTTCTGTGGCGTTGAAATGAGATTTCTGTTATCAAGTATACGCCGAGTAAGCCTGGACCGAAAACAAAAAAAGGTGTTCATGCATATTTAAAAAGTTGCCGAGATGTGTATGTGTGTTTGTGGGGTGTCAACAAATCCATTTTTGGAGGTGCCTCGGAGCCCAGACATTACTCTCCTCAGTCTACATGCATTTGCATTACGGACAAGAGTCACAAAGTTTTGTTGTTTTTTTGAGGGCAGCTGCCGAGAGAGTCTCATGTGACTGCCAAATAAATAGACCCATATCAAAATTTAATTTTACTGTGGGTCAGCCATGTACACTCGTCTGAATAGACATCTACATAAGTATACATATATAGGGATATTCCTGTTAGGTATTTGGAGATGGGAGGGTGCATATATCTTCATTCACTTGGTCCTTAAAGGGCTGACCACAGACACTGGGTTGTTTATAAATTCTTACTTAATTGTTCAAGTTGACATCGATTAGGGGACATACAAGCTATGAGGGTATTTTCTGGATATTCTAATTGGGTTTCATTTAAAATTTAAACAATAAATACAATTATATGGCTTATTCCTATGAGGTAATATGCAAACCCGTTTTAATTGGCTCGTAAAATTTATTATTTATGAAATTCTAAACACCAATTAAATTTGCACCTATAATTTAAGAGTTTGATTAAATTAACGATTGATTTATTTTCTTTTCCATTGCAATTTATTTAAAATTGATGAATTTTCATTCCGACTTTTATTTGTTTAGTCATATTTTGGCTTAGTTCAGCCATAAAAGCCACAGCCGCCGCACCGACCACATAATATGACATCCTATGTGTGGCGTTCGGGGCCAAAGCTCGTTTGTAGTGGCAGTGTGCCAGGCTCCTGGGAAGCGTTTTTCGTATGGAGTATACAAGCGCTAATTAAGAGCAGCTGCAGCATCATTGCATTGCGGTTGATTAAAGCATTGTCTCGAAATCTGTGCCAGTGGACACCCACTATCTGCGGTTCCCTCCCAAAAGAGCACATCGTTCCTCTCATGTGGCCTACTATTTGTTTTAAAATGCAACACTTGATCATTAAAAAATTAATGAAGGAGTAGAATTATTTTTATAGGAGGAAAAGACGTTAAATTATTCTCCAATGCCTTAATTGTCTAAATCGTTTCTATTTCTGTGTATTTTTAGCACACTCCCCCAAAAGAGTGCCCTCACTAACCACTTTTGTCTGTCAACTGGTGTAAAGTTAATCAGGACATCATGTAATTGGCTTGCAGGATGGGAAACGTCCATCATCTGATTAACTGGATGATTTGGACAGTGCCTCCACATTTTGCTCGTGGTCTTTGAATTTTTCGCTTCGGCATTCATTTTAATTAATGTTGTTTCTGCTACCGTGGTGAATGTAAATTATTCAAATTAGTTTTCGTTTTGCATTGAAAAGGGTTATATGTAGGGATGTAGGGAGTTGGAAGCTTGCCACGCTTAGGTTGACCAAAAATGTTTCTCATTTGCGGTTTACAAAAGGCACTGTCCGTCATATATAAATATAGGCGTGTATACAGTATTTTTGTCATAATTAAATAGTCCATGAGAGAGGATGTAGGTAAGGACCTTAAATCAATGAAAATGTTAAAGGGCTTTATTTGTACTCCCTGTCAACCTCAAAAAGGATTTAAATCAATACTTAAGACACGTGTAATTTAATATTATTTAAAAAAAAAAAGCCTCCAATGAACTTCAGCTCCATTGGAACTTCCCCTCCTGGGACACAATCATATTTAATTCGAAAATTACCATTCCATTCTAATGTAAATAGAAAAAAATCTCTCTGTCTAGAATCTGGAGCGCTTTTAGAAAGAATTCGCCAATTTGCAGGGCTTTGCTTTCATTGTATTTGAATTTAATTAAAGAAACGCTTCGGGGCACGTGAGGCCTCGAGCTATAAACCAGAATTTACGTGTAACGAAAATAAAAGCGGATATGCAAATAAAAAGCTTGGATATTCGAAAATTGAAATCGAATAAAAATGCACACCTATTCGGGGAATTTGGCACGTGTCCAGATTTTGTCATATCGTTTTTGGAATTTGCATTTTGACGAAAAAAGGAAATTTTTGTAATTTGATTGCGCAGCGGAAATGCATCGATGCATTCCAGTGGTTTAAAAATGGCAGCACTTCAGTTTCCTGTCCTCAATAATCGGTGCATTTGAAGGAGTTTAGGGGATTGCCCCAATCAATGAACCGAAATGTTAACCCACAACTTCAATTTCCTCAAAAATATGACACTGGTGCGGAGTGCAGAGAGCCATCAAAATGGATTTGAAAGGAGGCAGGAAAAAGCGTCGGCGACGGCAAAAGAAAAGCTACTCAGTATAGACCGTTTTTTGAAGGTAGAAAAGGGGGTGGCGTAGGGGATCCTTCAGCCACATTGACAACGTCGAAAGTGCAAACTTGGCAGCATCAGAAATCGCCTTTGATGGAGACCACGACCTTTTTGGCTCAGGCCCTGCTGCGACCAGGTGCTGGTTGAGTGTCCATCCAAAGTGATTTCGTATGTAAGATGCACCGAACGTGTGCGAAACGGCTGCATGCAAATTGTTTGCCCGTCGGCCCGATGCCAAAATAGTGCCTAGGGTGGTCGATGTTAGCCCACGAACCTCATAGCCTCAGAACCACGACCACGGCCATCGACGTGGAGCAACAGTTAGCTTTCCAGGCTTTCCACAACCAAAAAGCCGGAAGCCAAAAAGGGGAAAAATGGCGCGTGCGCCTAAATCTTCATAAGGGGAAGTGCCTGGAAGTGATTTCTAGCTAATGTTTTAGATTCTAAAATTGTAAAAGTTAGATTCTAAAATATAGACTTGTTTAATTTGTATATAATTCTTTAAATTTTTTATTTATAAATGTGAATCTATAATATTTTTCAGCAGAAACGTTTAAGAAACTTGGTTATTACATATTATAATCATCGACTTTATAAAAAAAACTATAGGATGTGAATTTTAAGTTTAAGTAGCATCCTTCCCCACTGATTCCATCTTTAAAAGGAGTCCATATGGCCCCCATTCGATGAGCCAACCCATCAGCTGTTGGACTCCAATCAGAGCAGCTGGCGCGACTGATAAGAAGCGGGGAAAACCCACTCACTTCACCTGCCCATTGCCAATGGTTGGCTGGAAGTACAGCCGTTGCAACTGGAAGCCTTATTGGCATCCTCGGCTTCTTAGCCGACTGTCGTTCGGGTCGTGCTTCTGGCCAACACAGTCGCAACAGTTTGGCCAACTGAGCCGCACATTCAGTTTCAGTTCCTGTACGGCGTTGCACGCAAACGGTGCCCCAAACCGGATCGCAGATTACG